CATTTGGATTTAGAATTAGGTGCTTGGTATAATACATTATTAAAATATTACGCCATGGAGCGGTTTAAAGATGTCAATGTGCTGTTCCGTAGGGATTTGAAGATAGTATAGTGTTGGGGCAGTAGTGTACGTCTGTGTCGTCTTTTGGTAGCCTCTCTTCTTCTCATTAATTCTCTAGTTTTTTAATTTATCCAAGGAGCAGAAGGACGTCTAAAAATACGGGTTTTAATAGGAGCTTTATTGTTAAGGAAATCAAGGAGTTTAGAAGAAAAGTATTTCATCATGTCATCGATGGAAGAAAGGGAGTAGATGGGTTCTAAGGAAACTGATAAGGGATCAAGATAAGGGATGATGTTCTCAATGGTTAGGAAATCATGATCTCTCCAGGAAATTTATTTGGGAACAAGGGTGGAATAATAAGATTGTATGATATTGCGATAAGATTATGGGATGAGAGAAAAAACAGGATTTTGCGAGAAGGATAATAGGTTTCAAGGGGAATCAATGATAAATAAATCTAACCAGGTATCAGTGAACTGGATATGATGGATGGGTTGAAAAGGTACAATGAATAGGTCTAGGGAGAAAAACAGGTCAATAAGTTATGTCCGGAGAGACTGAAAGAAGATTGGTGTTGCGATCTTCTGTAATAATATTTTGAAGCCTAGATTTACTTTTAAAAATTAAGGAAATACCTTTCTTGTTAGACAATACGGAGGTGAAAAATAGTACAAAATTTTGCATCTCCATTAAGCACACCATTATTCTTGAACATGGTATACATATTACAAATGTCAATATAATTGTCACAATGTATCCTTCAGATATCCCATATATCCGATATTGAATCAATATTTACCGTGTAAGGGGCCCTTCAGTAAACAAAAAAAAAATCGTAAAAATTTGCTAGCAGTAAAATCATGGCTAACATAAGAAAAAAATAAAAATGTTACTCCCTAAATGGAATGTATCTCTACTTAGTCAGGTCGATTTTTTATTTATTTTTTTATTTATATCTACTGTTAAATGCGTTCACCATTTTTATTTGATTATAAACTAAAAGTTAAAAGAGTAGGGGAAAATAGTTAGAAGTCACACCTTGAATTTCTTAAATTAACCTATTACCAAACTTGCAGTGCAATAAACTAATGAAAACGTTTTCTCAAGGACAAAAATCATTTATTATGGCATCACATTCGTACGTTTTAATTTTGGAACTGAATACAAATATTCAATAAATGAAGTGGTTAAATTAAATGGGCCTGGCCGAATTTAAAGTTTGGACGCTCCCAGGACCATTTTTGCCAGCCTATCCTCAGTCAAACAAAGAATAAACGTGTTATCTATTTGATATTATAATTTGGTAGTAACTTATAATCATTAGCTTCATTTAAATTATTTAATCTCATTGAGACATTAAGCTACGAGGGTTCCCCCTCCACAGTCCGTAAGGATATAAACTCTTGATTGGCCACTTCACTCACTCATTTCACATTCTGAATCGTTGTGTCTAAGGTATATTTGTAATATTAATTCACTTCACAGTAATCCATTTTTAATATTAATTAATAAGGCAAATTTTATTAATATTAATAAATAAGGTAAATTTTTAATATTAATTCACTTCACTAGCGGATCCAAGATTTAATTTTGGGGAGGGAGGGCTTCAGCCCGAAAGATTTTTTTTCATATATATAACGATAATTAATTTGAATAGAAAGAAATGAACTATCTATATGTAATGGTGTTTAAGTGATTCTTGAAGTCCTACTAAAAGTAATTACACGAACAATAATACTTTAAGAAATAGTTTTAAATGTTTTTTTCTATAAAACATGGTTATATTTTACCGTTTTGGAGGAGGGGGGGACTTCTGCCCGAAAGCTCCCTCCTTCCCCCCTCCCTAGATCCGCCTGTGATTCACTTCACATAGTTTCCATCATCTACTTATTCTGTTGATTTTTTATAATATATCAATTCTGTATTTCAAGGTAAACTATCACCGATTTTCAACTCCCTTCCTCTTTCAAAATGCAATGGCATATGCCTCCCTCTCCCAACTAATTTTATTATTTGTCTTAAAAACGGAATAAGTGAAAGTAGAATTATTAAAATTAGTAGTTTAGTTTTTTCGTTGTCTTCTACTTTGAAAGCACACACCCCAATCAAAATCATAAAATAAGGTTCCATCCAAAAAACAAGTAAAAATGTTCCTCCGCGAAAATTCATAATATCATAGAAATATAATCTTTAGAATCGTTTTACTAGTGAAACTGGCATCTTTGAGTCCAATTTAGCTAATTTATACTTTTATATCATCTTAACAATATTGTAATCACATTTCACAATCACAAATATTTTAAATATGCTAAAAGTATATTAAGAGACTTTAGTTGAGGATTGCAGTCATAGAAGTACAGAAAAATAATTTACGTTAGTGGGTTAATAAAGGGAAGTTGGTTGAGGTGTTCAGTCAAACAAAGAACGAAGTAAAAATAAATTATATTTTTACATTATTATATATTATATTATATTTTTATTTTTGCCCACGTATCGGCCCACCTTTCAGGCCTTCATCAGGGATGTTACGAAAGTTGCCTTAAGACAGAGACAAGGGGCTGTCTTATGTGACCTTTTGTGAGAACAGTCCTCATGAAGGCTTTGAAATATTTTATTTATTATCACTTTGTTCTTTGTTTGACTGAATACCCCATTGCTTCAAAAATGATTTACTTTTTTTTTTTACTTTTATGCCTACATTACAGGCTTTTATCAGAGCTAAACAAAGATAACAAAAAATACAGATACAGTAATAATAATGATATATAGGTAAAATAGTATAGTAAAAAAATAGGTAGGTAGTTAAACTTTACTTTAATAAATATATGGAATGGTAAATATTCTTAGCTCAACATTAATTCAAAGAGAAAATATTCCATAAGTTTATTAATATTAAATTTAACTACCTAATATTATTTTACTCTACATATTGTAACTCTCTATATTTTTTTCAGTATTTATTAATTATCTGGTCTTAGCTTAGCTCTCTGATGAAGCCCTGAAAATTAGAACAAAACGTCAGCACAAAGGTAATAAATATAATTTATTTTCAGGTAATTTTAGACTGTTTTATATGTTACTAGTAGATCAGGATATTTGTTTACCAATGACAGTCTCTACATGTTTTTAATTACTTTATTTCTAGAGAATCTTTCAGTGACATGCATCTCTGTACCTATATTATAACACATTATAATCAATAAATTTAACAATTAACAATGCATGTTACATAATTAACAAAAAAATTATCATGCAATTATTATCATTTTCATGCCGTACCTTTATCCCTTATTATCACAACACTACTTGCATATAATAGCCAACCATAAAAATGAAAAAAAAAAAAAAAGTGCATAAAACTTGGATAACTAAATTGGTGTGTAAATATAGATGTGCTGACAGTAATCATTCAGCATTCAGTAAAATGATGTCGGACAAAAAGGAGCCCTTTTTTCTGAAATGTTGGTACTTAATTAATCACTAATTTTAATTCAAAATAATTTAATACAAAATATGAGACAAAGAAGGATTACTGTTCCAATCTATTGTTTTTGAATAAGAAAATAAGGGATAAAGGTATGGCATGAAAATGACAATAATTGCATGACAATTTTTTAAACAGTATGTAACATTATGTATTGTTAATTGTTAAATTTATTGACTATAATGTATTATATTATAGAGATGAATATGCTGCAGGTCACCGAAAGCTTCTCTAGGAATAAAGTAATTTTTAAAAAATATAAAGGCTGTCATTAGTAAACAAATATCCTGATCTAGTATAAATTATTTTTGTGTACTTCCATGACAGCAATCCTCAAGCAACTTCTCTTATAAGAATCAACAGTCAACCATTTCTTCACCATTAAAAGTACAATAACATATATAACAGCATAAATATAAAGATTGGCCAATATCAGATCTGAAACTTATTTTTTCTTTCCTGGAAAACATTGAAAATGTAACTTATGATAATTCAATTTTTCATAATATATCAACTGAAATATAAAAAAATTATCTGAAAAATCTACTTTGAATTAAATACTCTACAGGCTTCCTTATGATAGATTGCTGAATCTTTATTTTTCAGATGGGTAAGTAGTTAACTGACCAGTTATAAAGATGAAACAAAATTGTCAGGAATATCAGTCAAGATATTTTTATTGAGTTAATTGAGGTTTCAACCCAAACATGTGGGTGGAATATATATATATATATATATATATATATATACCACTACTGCTAGTGCAAAAGGTTCATGCAACTTTTACACATGTATTCTCTTAGTGCTACAGATTACATTTTGTAGTCTGCACCTGCTACAAGTAGTCCACTAAAATAGGAAAATAGCAGAGGGATATGAAATGTGAAATTATTCTAATAAATCACAAAGAAATAATAGGTTTTTTGTTTTTCTGTAAAATAAAGTCAATTTTTACATACGACCTTATGCACAAACAAAATAATTTATAACTTTTTGTAAATATCACTTATACTAAAAAATGGTTAATATATTTTAAATTAAAGTCAAATTTAAAGTTTTTAAATTTAAATCCAAGCAAACTTTATAATTTGAATTGAACCCTTCGTAGTTTCAATTTGCTTTTTATATCTACTCAAAACATATTAAACCTAAACAAAAAAATAAAACTACTATATGTTACATTATTTATGCAAATCGTATAATTAGTGAATGAAATATGATTTAGGTTGCAGAGTAATCATCCAAAATGTATAAATCAAGTCATAAAAGATCTTGATATCGAAAAAATCTTCAATTCTTTTATTCAAATTTGGTTTTCATCGGTAATTTTAAAACATACACGGTAATGTTTTCACAACCAGAAATCCATAAATAATGTTTAAATATAAATGTAAAAATGTAACCAATGTTTACAATAAATTAGGATTAAATTTTCAATTTTTTCTTTCATTTCAGAATGGAGAAGATATTTCCCTTTTATCTGCTCTTCCATGTGTGCTGTGCTGTAGAACAATTACCACTATTCTCAGAGTTAAACAACATACTTGACAAAGAGGGAATTCCATTTCAGAATAACAAGTTTGGAGAGACTGACAAAATTTTAAAGGAATATGATTTTATTGTTGTGGGATCTGGTCCTGCTGGATCAGCTATAGCAAACAGATTGTCAGAAATAAGTAATTGGACTGTGTTACTTCTTGAAGCTGGTGATGAGGCAACTTTTCTCAGCGAGATCCCTGTATTTAATGAATACACAGTTTTAACTAATAATTCCAGAAATTATGAACTGGAAAGAGAGTATAACGCTTGTCTTGGACTAGTGAACGGAGTGTGCCACTGGCCAAATGGTAATGGTGTGGGTGGAGGTTCGATACTCAATGGGATGTTGTACACACGAGGGCATCCCTCAGATTACGATGAATGGGCTTATGAAGGTAACATTGGTTGGTCCTATAAGGATGTCTTGCCGTATTTCTTAAAAGTGGAAAACATGTCTATTCCAAGTTTAGCAGAATCAGAATATCATTCCACAAAAGGCCCTGTACATTTGCAATATTCCTTTTTAACACAAATAGGAAAAAGATTCATAGAAGCAGGCCAACAGTTAGGGTATGATGTTATAGATTACAATAACCCAAATACGATGGTTGGATTTTCTCAGGCACAGACAACCATGAAGGGAAACAGAAGACATAGCGCAGTATCGGCTTATCTATTACCTTTAAAATCTCGTCCCAATGTACATATATTAAAAAATGCCTATGTGACGAAAGTACACACTAGTAGAAGAACAAAACGAGTAATTGGTGTCAGATTTGTAAAGAATAATGTAAAGAGAATGGCTTTATCGAGAAAAGAGGTCATACTTTCAGCAGGGGCATTTGGTTCGCCAAAAATTTTAATGTTATCAGGAATAGGACCAGCTAAACATCTTCACGAAATGAGAATCCCTAACATCGTTAACCTTCCAGTTGGTGAAAAACTTCAAGAGCATTTATCAACAGCAACTGTAACATTCCTTATCAACACCACTGACAGTGCAACATTGCCTAAACAGATTGCTACATTTGAAAGTGAATTTTCTCAATGGTTGGATGGGGCAAATAATACATTAGCAAATAATTTGGCTGAGGCCGTTGGGTATATTAAGACAAAATATGCCAGTCACAAAGCAGATATCGAGCTTTTTAGTATACCTCAGAGCATTGGTGGTGATGGAGGTGTGTTTTGGAAGAGAACAAGAAATATTTCTGAAGAAGTTTATAATAAAACGTGGGAACCAATATTTTTTGCAGAGGGGTTCAATATTTTTCCAATGATGATGTACCCAAGAAGCAGAGGTACAGTAAAACTACGGAGCTCAGATCCAAATGACCCAGTAGTTATTGATAATAACTTTTTATCAGATACTTTTGATGTTAAAGTTACAATAGAAGGGATTAGAGCAGCACAGGAATTAGCGACAACAAAAGCTTTTCAAGAAATTGGTGCCACCTTATATAAAAATCCTGTTTACGGGTGTGAATCGCATGAGTTTGATTCTGATGAATATTGGGACTGTGCTATAAGAACCGTTCCCATTCAACTTCATCATCAATCCGGCACCTGTAGGATGGGCTTATGTCCTTCAAAGTCTGTTGTAGACCATAGATTGCGAGTCCATGGATTGAAAGGACTCAGAGTCGCTGATGCTTCAATCATGCCCAAGTTAAATGGGGTGCACACCATGGCAGCTTGCTATATGATTGGAGAAAAAGCTGCTGATATGATCAAGGAAGATTGGGAGAGTCATAAATTAAAATCATGAACTACCCTTAAAGGAAATATTAATGAATTGAGTCACCTTTTTTAATGTAGTGTATCATTGTATATATATATATATTTTTTATTTATTACACTTCAATCAACTTAATTATTTGAATGATGTAACCCCAATGTAATTTCCATTTATTTTTAAGCAAAATGAATTTTAGAGGACATCCAAAATAATTAAACATGTGTCTTATTTGGTCTTAGAAAACACATAAATTTTAACTATTGTTTATACTGGATTGAGATTCTTTTGATGGAACTTTGGTCATGTAAATTGTTAAGAACTTGTGAAAAAGAGGATTAAAAACATTTTGTGAATAAATTGAATTGAGCTGGTACTGAAACTGATTGCCTCGTTGATTGAATAGAGTAAGAAATTTTTATTTTGGGAAATAAATATGGATAGGCTAATTAAATGAACTATTATATAATTATATGGAAATGAGTTTTAAATCTGATTAAAATGAAAATAGGAACATATCTCAATTTTATTTACATCAGACCATTACATTAGAAGTAAATGTTCTTTATTTTATTTTTTAATAAAAATAAAAAACTAAGAGGATGATTAAGATATAATATAATTGTAACATAATATTTGACTAACTATAAAATTCAAGATTAACTAAGGAAAAATGTATACTGAAGTAAGTAAAAAAACCAACAGGAACATTTCTATTATACTTAAGACACATACTACATATTATCAAAAAATACAAAAGGTAATAATAGCAAAACTTGAGTAAAACGCCCAAAGCAATTTGACAATAGAAATAAGCCATCATGAGTTGCTAAAGCCCTTTTACCTTGTTAATTAAAGATAACATATAAACTTAATCAAAGTAAATTATTTATTATAATATTATAATTAATTCTTATTTATCAATAAAGGATGACACAAGACCAAACAGCTTCATTGAAGTTTCCTGTAAACAAAATTAAAATGACAACGTTCGCATGGCACTTAATCACTTATGGACATTTTCTAGAGGATTTATTTATTTAAAAAATAATACATTGTTTAAAAATGTAATTAACTTTCATAATTACATTTCTTTCAATTTAATAATTTTCATATCATATAATAGATCAACAGCCTCTCAATTTTTTTTTATCTATATTTAAAATAATGGCTATTCTTTAATAACATCATCAACATTTTAAATGTAAGAAAGAAAAACAAGAAAAGTGACAGCTTTTTATTGTGTGTAACTCTTCCAAAGTTTTGCTAGCCCAAAACCATTAATACACAAAACTCTTAGAGAAATATTGCAAGGTGCAGACTGCTTTCTAAAGCATCCTAACATCCATATCTGACAATATCAAGAATGTATCCGAGAACTAGACAAGATGTATGAGATATTGGTAGACTAAAGGCAGGAAGTCCGGAGGTAAGATTCACTTTTCAGAGTCTTCATCTAATAGTTGAGTTTAATTACCTCATTTCTGGCCAAATGAAACTCATTTCAAAATTAAAGACTTGTCTGGATCGTTCTGTCTTAGGAGCGTAAACATTATGAAGTGGTTATCTATCATTACTGTAGTAGATAGTCCCAGTATTTACTCCTTTATGTGACATTGTGTGAGGAAATGAGAAGCAATATATAGGAATGTGAGGTTGCACGATGAATTGTACTCAATTGTGCAGTGGAAAAATTATTCATTGAAAAGTCTGATATCAATAAACAATCGACGAAGGAGGAAGAAGGTTGGAAAAGGATGGAGCAGGTAGCAACAGCTGGAGAAGGACGCTGGAGAGAAGAGAACTCACTCTAGGCCTGGACAGGAAGAAAGGATATTGTCAAAAGAGAGAGGCACTGCACTGAAGATTAAGAAGCTCACGAGTGTCAATAACCTAGTCCCCCAACAAAACAAAAGGCAATTCACAATTATAACTTAACATGTTATTTACATTGCAATAGCCTTTGGATGAATTTTTCCAAGTATTCTTTGATTGTTTCTCGTCCCACTGAATCATTAATATATCTGTTTAACTTACGATTAGTTTATTCATAAGTCTACAGCCATTTTTCTTTAGGATAAGTCTCTACCCAACAGTGTTGCTCTAACTTAGATTTCTTGAGTCCTATGTATATTAAAATTCCAGAAAAAACGAGCTCAAAAAGAACTTTAAAAGAATTACATTATATATAGAAAATTATGTATAGTTATCAGTTTTACTGGAAGAGGAGCGGTCAGTGCACCACATACTGAACCTTTTGTTTATGATCCTAAAGTAAGATTACAGAGGACTCCCTATCAGTAAGACCAGTGCTGATTAGAGTAATTATATTTAGTCCTAATATAGAGGTGAGCAAGCAAATACGGAATACTAAGTGATGAGTTGATTTTGTTCAGGAGTTTGGATAGAAAAGAAACTAAGAATATAAATGACTTATACCCAGACAAATTTCCTGAAGAGGTCTTAATTCCTTAAACATTGACAATATCTGTTCTTTTCTTAATTCCCTATCCTTTTCCTTAGAACTTATTTTTTTCCTTCCCTCCATCGATGACATGGTACATAATGTCTTTCCTCTAATCTCCTTGATTTGCCCAATCATCAAGTACATCTTAAAACCTATATTTTTAGATGTCCTCTCAATCCCTGGATTAATTCAGAAATAAGATATCTTATGAGAAAAAAAGAGACTGCCAGAAGACGTTACAGATATACACGACTGCCTCAGCATTATTCCATGTTTAAATCCCTTACTTCTTAAATCTTACCCAAATATCCTAATGTCATGAGAAAGCCAAATGCTTTGATAATATTTTATTTCAAACAGCTAACCCTAAATCCACATGGGCAATCCTGAAAAGCCTCTCTATCATCAGCTCCAAAACCTGTACCCAATTTCCAAACTCCAAAGCCTTCCTATATCAAATAGAGTTCTAAAATGGTTCTAGTCCTTCTTATCCCACTGCTCACAGACAGTCGTCAATCTTAATAAATCTCCATTGTCACCCCTTCAATTAACAGAGGGCGTTCCTCAGAGCTCCTCACTCTCTCTGACCCTTTTCCCAATTTATATTAGTGATCTTTCTGACTCCATTAATCACTCCCGTTACCACTTATATGCTATGATTTCCAAATTTCCTAATTGTTTCAACCTTCTGAGATGGCTGAGGCTAACCAAAAGCTAAAAAAGATATCAACTGCATCAATAGATGGATGGAAATAAATGAGTTGAAGCTGAATACAGGAATAACTAACGTTATTTTCATCGGTTCTAGCCATTCCATTCCTTTCCTTCTCCCATCTACTTTACCTCAATAACCTATAAAATCTAGAAGTAACCTTTGATCATTTTATTAACAATCATTATTAGTGTTAGTGGTAAAAATTGTGTTAAAAAATAATGATCAGGGTATGATTATGATTATCACCTATGATCAAAAATAAAAATCGCTCTAAATAATAGTCGTAAAATGATTTTTAAAATTTCAGATAAAAATAATGTGGCGACCCTATTGCTCAGTCCTTGGACTGCAAACAGCCACTAGCCCTCTAGGTTGGGGGACCCAGCGTCAGCGGGTATAGCCTGGAATAACCATATTTCCATATTACCCGAAAATCCATAGCTGTTCTTAAATAACTCCTAAGATTCCGTGATCCTATTTCTCAAAAAAACCAGACAGATCCTTGTAACCTCCCTCATTTTCGACTACGGCTGCTTGTAGGGCTGTCTGACAAACTGGTGTTGAAATTGAAGAGACTCATGAACTGTTTTATAAGATTCATCTTTGGAATTCCCAGAGATTCTACGTTTCATACTGGTAAACCGAGTTTAAGTGGCTCTATCCTACTTCCTGACGACAATTCCTTCTTTGTGTTTTCCTTTTCCAAATCATAAGAACCAAAAATTCTCCCTACATCCTAGAACTCCTTAATCTATGTTCCTCTATCCATTCTCTTGATACCAGATCTCAATTTTCTGATCTCAGATTCTCAATCTTTTTATATCGTTTCCCATAAATCTACTTCCTTCGGCAAATCTTTCCTCATTTCTACTACCTCCTGAAATTCTTTATCTGTTATTTCAACTGCTCATTAACAAAACCATTTTTGTACACATATAGATTGATAGATAGATAGAAAAAAAACTTCATTCTGGGACTAAGTCCCTTTAGAATAACAAAATTGTACAAAAAGAAAAGAATATTACTGGCCTAAAAGTTTGAAACAATAAATAAAATAAACTAAAAAGTAAAGAAAACCTTAGGTGAACAAGATATATACAATACAGATAAAACTATGTACAAAACAGTTAAAACTATGAACACTTTGAGAAGTTCATTTCATATTATAACGGTAATTGTATATATAAAAAAAAAGTTAGTTATAATTGAATAAAAAAAAAAAAAAATAGATGTATTGTGTGGCATCAAAAGTAGGAAATACATGCATTATCCCTTACAAAGTATTATCTTATGATTGATTGCTAAGCAATAAATATATAATGTTAATAGTTAGCTGTTATCTGACTGTTTTTGGAACAGGTATTGGAATGCAAGGTTTTTGAATGTGGAATTCCAGAAGTTGACAAAGCGGGCTGCAAAGGAGTTTAGGAATGAAGCAGATCTATGAGAAGGGGTGTATAGGTCAGAAGCTCGAGATTTTGTAATGAGCGGATGGATTGAGGACTTAAATTGGAGAAGGTTGCTGGCATAAGAAGGATGATGATCGTTAATGATTTGATAAAGGAATGTACCTAGGAAATATTGTCTTCTTAAGGAGGGAAAGAGCCACACTAACTCAGTGTAATGATGGGAGACACGGGAGCGTCTCAGGGTTCTAATTACAAATATTATGAAGCTATTCATAAGCCTTTTCAGTCTATCACGGAGCTGCACCGAGAGGCCATTGTACACGGCACGTAGCTGTAGTCAAAGTTGGGAAAGATGAGAGGAAACTAGGAGTCTACGGGCATTTTAGGATAGAATATGGTGGAAGCGATGGAATAGTTTGAGGGTAGAAATTGCACGGCGGGATATATGAGAGATATGGTGATACCAGGAGAGGCTTCAATCTATGAAAAAGCCTAAATTTTTAACAAATGGGTGGTTATTTAGGTAGAGTGAAGGAAAGTTGGTGTGGGGTCCAAGAAGGGGCTTGGAATCAATGACAATGGCCTGAGTTTTAGCAGCATTTAGCCTTAATTCGTTTAAGTTGGCCATTAAACTGCTCAGGTTCGTTGTGAAAGGAAAGACTGGAACCAAGAGATGGAACCATTGGAGAAGGATAATGATTTTAGTTTGTTAAAAAGGATGGAATGGATAATGGAGTCGAAGGTTTTGGAGAAATCAAGAAGTATAAGTATAGTTAGTTTTTTGTCATCTATTTCAGTTTGAATATCTGTGGTAATTTTATTCAGAGCAGATTGTGTAGAGTAGCCAGATTGGAGAGGATAGAGTTGCTTGGATTTTTCAAGGAAGTTGGAAACTTGGGATTGCACTTACCATTTTAGGGGTTTTGAAAAATTAGAAAGGATTGATATTGGGCGAAAATCTTCAGGAGAGAATGGATTAGGCTTTTTGTTTAAAGAAAGTACAATGGCTTTTTTCCAAGAGGTCGGGAATATTGAATTCTGCAGGGAAAAATCGTAGATGAAAAGGTGAGCTGGGAGGATTTCAGGGAGACATAATTTTATTAGCTTGATAGGAATGCCATCTGGGTCAACTGAATTGCTGCAGGATTTCATTATAATGGTAATAAGGTATGTGGGGAAAATGTCGGAAAAATAAAAATTAATTTTATTAAATGATATATCTGTAGAAAAGCCGGAAGATGAGGGTAAAGAAGAGGTGGCAACAGATATAAAATGGGACTTTAGATCATCAGGTGATATTGGGAAAGCTGAGGAAGGGGATTTGGAAGGTTCACAGAGGGAAAGCTTACGAAGCAGAAGCCATTTAAACCATATAAAAAGTACTTGAGTTACTTTGTGCACTGTATAATTCAAGTAACTATATGATTGCAATTGCAATTAACATTCAAATGACAAGAAATTTCATATTTGTCAAGCCAGACTAATGGGCAAGTTTTTTTTACTATGTTATTATTCTTAGGGGACATTAGTCCCAGAACAAAATAATTTTTTTCATTTATTCAAGAATATAAATGAACACTGAAATTCATATATGAATGAGGAAGCACATGATAAAGATCTGTGGAGGGAGTGGCCGAATGGGCTAACGCGTGTACACTGCACTGCCGTTGCCTGGCTACCTGATACATAACACTTTGACAAAAAAAATAGTCATGAGTTCGTGTCCTGGTGCCCGGAGGAGTTTTTTAAATCCCCGCCCACACTCCCTGGCCTGGGAGAACCCCCGTATAGCCTTAGAGGCGAGGAAGGGGGGACAAAAAAAAAAAATATGATATAGATTTAAATTTTCAAAGTGAATTTTTTTTAGTCTGATGAAAATATGTAAAATTAATAGACAGTTCATTGTGGGCGGGGTGGCCGAATGGGCTAAAGCGTGTGCACTGCACCGCTGTTGCCTGGCAACCTGATATATGAATCAAAGATATAAAAATAGTCACGAGTTCGCGTCCCGGTGCCGGGGGAGTCTTTTAAATCCCCGCCCACACTCCCTGGCCTGGGAAAATCCCGTATAGCCTTAACGGCGAGGAAGGGAAGGACCCAAAAAAAAAAAAAAAAAAAAAAAAAAAATGGACAGTTCATTGTGAAATCCAGTCTTCTAAATGACATAAGTGGCATAGGACAATGAGATTTTACTTCTTCTTCACTCAGTCCATTTTTGCAATCATATTATTATTTGTAAAATATAAGAGAGATGTTATAATATTTATAGTCAATGATAATAATAGTAACATTTTTACAAATAATCAAAAATTAACATATATTAAATTAAAATAGTTATTCCCCTGTATGTTGGAGACTCATGACTTTGTAGTTTGGATTTTTCCATTTATAACATAATTACTATCATTGTTATTGACTATAAATATATGATAATAAATTGATGATGACACTTTTGGTATGGATGGTCCTTTTGGAAAGGACACTCTGTTTTATATATATATTATTACTATCAACTGAAAAACCCCCTATAAAACAGTTTTTCAAATTACTTGGAACTGAATGAATGTATTAATATCTACCTATATGTTTATAACAATTATAATAGTAATGATGAATTTATAATTTTAATAACTTACTATATTTTTATTATTATTTTCCAAAAATGAATCAAAGAGATATTTCAATATTTCTTTTAAAGACATATGATCATCTAAACTCAATAGATATATCAATTGAAATAATTTTCCATCTTGATAATTACTTGGAAGTGCCTTAAAAAGAATACAGATGAAAATGATAGAGTTGAAATAAACTATGAACTATGAGACAAAATAAAAATAACAATAATAATAATAATAATAAAATTTTAGTACTATTGGAAGAACATCATGTGTGAATTAGAAGTATTTAGTTTTAATTATTTCGACCTTCTTTGCCTTCTGGCAAAATTGGTGTCGACAAAATAGAGAATGCATAAGTTGCCGATAAAAATCAAACATAAGTTTCATCTTCTTTAGATATGGATCACAAGGCCTTGTCTTCTTATGTTAAATGGGCATAACCAACTGCAGTTTTTCATCCAATATACAAACAATCAGTAGAACAGATAATTCTTTTCAATCACCAGCTGGGAGGAATAGTTCAAGAAATCAAACAGGAGTTTGAAATCGATAATTATTTTTTCCACAAAATCATATAATAATTATTATATTTGATTTTCAATTTAAAAATCTTGCCTGATTTAAAAATAAAAATTTGAATGAATCTTTGATATTTATTGATTTGATTAAAAATAATGATCACTCACTGAGGTTTTACATAAATAATAATGATTAAATTGTGATCAGAAAATAAAAATCATCTTTTACACACAAATTAAAGGATATATTAATATGTATGTATATATTATTAATTTCCACCTTTTAAATATTATATATATTTTTTCTTTTTTTTTTTTTTTTTTTGTAAGCCAAAATTTCTAATGAATTTCGGAAATTAAGATGTTCTGTTGCTAATAGTTGACAGCAATATTCTCCACCAACTACTCCAGACTCAAAATAAATCATAGAGATGACAACCAGTTTATATTTCTTGTTTAAAAAACTATTACTCAAGAAATATTATTATTGTTAGTTATAAAAATTGTGATAAAAAATAATGATCAGGGTGATTTTTATCACCTATGATCAAAAATAAAAATCGCTCCTAATAATATTCATAAAATGATTTTTTGAATTCTAGATAAAAATAATGAGGCAAAAAAATGACTGCAAACAGCCACTAGCCCTCTAGGTTGGGGGATCCAGCATCAGGAGGTATAGTCTGGCCACCTTTCCTTTTGAGGGGGACTAAATATTTTGGAGTCCAATTATCCCGAGGATACGGGGCCTCTGAGGCTTGGGCCAATCTCCCACCCAGAATATATAAGATTCAAAGTGGTAAAGATAGACCTGGAATTGGGCAGTCAACAAGGAAACGAGATGGCATGGACAAAGACATAAGATTACATGGAATATTAGAACGCTCACCGGTCGTGAGGCAGAGCTCGTTGAGGAGATCAAGGGTGGATATCTTGGATCTGAGTGAGGCAAGGAGGAAGAATTGGGGAAGCAGGAATTTGCCATCTGGATTTGTAACGATATTATCAGGGATAAATGCAGGATGATCCAAGGAGGGAGTGGCATTTGTCCTGAGAGACGAGCTGTACAACAGGATATGTAAATGAGAGGCCATATCTTCAGAATCATAGTAATGGATATCAAATCATGATGAGAAAAGTTATGTGTATTCAGTTATATGATGCTCCTACAGAGAATAACAGTGTCAGGGATAAAGAGAACTTCTATGAGGAACTTCAGCGAACTGTTGACTCAGCAACCACTAGGAATAAAAGTATCATCCTCATGGGAGACCTAAATGCAAGAACTGGGCAAGACCATAATCGGTCATATGATGTGATTGGTAGATTGGAATGACCTTTTCCTAGGAAATTCCTGTTTTAACCACAAGAGGATTCACAAGGTAACTTTTGAAGCTCAAAGACAAGAAGGTTCAAGCATCATTGACTACGTTATTTAGAGACCTCAAGTAGTACTTTACAGACATAAAAATCATTAGAGGAGCAGAGCTGGAGACAGACCACAATCTCCTGGTTGATGAGACCAGAATTATAAATTCTATAAAAGTTAAGAGAAAGGTATATGAAAGGAAGTCAATTGAAAATCTGTAACAGAAAAATAAAAGGCAGGAATATATGGAAATGTATTCCATAAATATATGGATTTATGAATATCTGGGAACTGTCTTCAGTCAGGATGGGAAGATGGACTAGGAAGTTATGCATCGAGTGCTAATCAGCTCTTCTTCCAAATTTCCAGAACAATGGAGGGCAAGCAAGAAGTGAGCAAAGAAGCGAAGCTTGGCATCTTTAGATCTGTCTTCCTACCGGTTTTATTATATGGAGCTGAGAACTGGGTACTCTTGGAAAAGAATGTCTCACGAGTGACATCAGCAGAAATGAGATATCTCAGAAGAGTTGCTGGAAAGACAAGAAGATACTGCGTAAGGAACAGAACTAGAATTAGAGATACCCTTAGAATTATACATGTAAGGGATGTCATAGAGGAATGCCAGCTCAAGTGGTATGGACATGTCTGCAGGATGGGGAACGAGCGTTGAGTTAGGTGGCTGATGGAGGCAGAGACCGATTGGACGTCTGAGAATCACATATAATAGCTATATGGATAGACTCGGACAATAGTGGGGGTTAACACTGAGCAAGATGAAAAGAAAGGCCCAGGATAGGTAGACATATACCGAAGGTGGATCAAGACTATCAAGACTCCATACTTAACAGCACAAAGGAGATTGAGAAAGAAGAAGATAAAAATTTTGATCAAATTTGGTTTTGATTTTTTTAATTATTGATTTCAAACCCTGCCTCAAATGCCGTTCCCATAGTTATTTGCTCAGCTGCCTCCAAAATTCCCGAACTGGAGGAGTTATGTCCATGGTGATACAGAAGAGGTGGGGGGGGGAGGAGGAATGTATTGATGGGAAAGGGCGGAATTACTGTTCACAACCAGACGACTGAAATTGAAACATAAATTTTATTTATTGGCATCAAATATATACACAAGGAGTAAATGAAATAAATAAAATGTGAATTAAGGGTGTTTCCTCCGATTCGAAGGACCAGGGCCAAACAAAGCCGCTAATCCCACTCCTTCAGAGTCATATTCATTGTTCTGGACCTTCTGAAATGGAATGTAAATATTTATAAGTAAAACCTTGTCAACGAGCCCTAATAAAATAAAAAGCCCCTAGAACACTTAGAACTCGCTGATGATCCCAGCTCCAATGTAGTGAGAATTTCAGGTCTTAACACTAAAGATAACTTATTTTAAATACACAATATTAATGATAAAATCAACCATTTATTATCCATCAGGACTTTGGCTTCAACTGAGTCGAGTAGAGTTTTGAAAGGTGTTATAAGTGATATATATTTTTGCTACACGCTAGTTTACTAGGAAGAAGATCGAACACAACAAATGGCTCAGGTCTTACCAGCTCAGTTATTTATCAATTTGCTTAAAATATTTAATTCATTTTTATGTTTATATATCAACATTAAGTTTCTATCTCTCATTATTTATCTCCATTCATATAGCAATGTATCCTCCTTCTGTTAAATTGAATAAATAGTTACTTCACAAACTCATATAAGACAGGTTATCAAAAATTTAAAAATGAAAATTACCTTAACATTTTTAATTTTCAAAATTTTAAGCCACTTCTTTTACAATTTTGGTAAACAACTAATGTAAATGTTTGTTAAATACATTTTGTATTACAATTTTAGTCATATGGTTTTGAACAGTGATCCCAAATCTTTCCTCTCCTCCCTCATCCCTCTTTCAAAATGTTAAAATGAATAAATATTTACTTCGTTGACTCATATCAGACAGGTTATTAAAGATATAAAGACAATTGCATATGATCAAACATGGAAAATGGCTTAAAATTTTCAAGTTCAGAAAATTTTCTAATATTTGAAAACCCATATCTTAAAATCCATTAAATTTAATTAATGTTTTGGTCCTAAATTGTAGCATATTTAATCTAGTTTAAAATTGTATAGATCGGTATTTGTCGAAAATGTGCTCCTTCATGGACAAAATGGGGAAAGTTCAAAAAAGATATTAAAATATAGCAGTTTTTGGTAAATTCAAAAGTGATACAGGGGCTGGGAGGAGGGGAGTTAGCCAAGGTGGAAAATTTGAATTTTGCATATCATACATATCCCATACAAGAAAATCAGAAGACACCTTTTACCCCCATTTTATGCAACTTACCATGGCCAATAACAGTCCCATAAAATTTCAAGAGTAATTTGATATCCAGATTTTAATTTTTACAGATCCTAGAGACCAGATCATATTTTCGGTATTATTCAATTTTATTTATTAATTTTTAATTATAATGAAATTACTAAAATTCATTCCAAAGCCAGAAGGAGACTAAAAGACTGAAAATGAGTGAGAATTAAAGATAAAACATTAACAATAAATTCTTTCTAACATAAAAGCTTATTCTAGGAAAGCAGTTTTTTATTGTTATCTAAAATTTAGGCAAGTTCTATTCCAAGAATATTTCCCACTTTGTTTACTACTTCCTTTTGCAACATTAAATTCAAATTGATGTTAGTCATAGAATTATTTACTTTCCTCATAAATGTTTACACAATAATAAATTTAATATGGACAAGATAGTAAAATAAAAACATAATTATTTACGTGCACATATGTATGATATTTATAAATCATCTCAATCAACAAATGTTGCAAAAATGTGCATTTTGTAGCAAAAAAAAATCAAAATCGTGCAATTTAGAGCAAAGACAGCAAAATGTGCAATATCAAATTTCAATATGTTATTATAGAGATTGTGAAATGGATAGATCATCAGATTTGAAGTTTTTACATGCAAGTGAATAAAATGTGCAATAACATGGAAATCTGGTCTCCAATTTCTAATTATACAAAAAATACCTTACTTTTATAAAAAAATATATAAGAATTGAAATTTTCTGATAGAATGGCCTGTATAAATCTGTAAGCACAGAATACAATCATAAAAGAAACTACACTATTAAAAATGTTATGATAGAATTATTAAATGACAATAATTTTCAAATACTTATATAAGATTAATTATTTTACCAATATGTAAAATTAATTATAGCATAAAAACTAACCAGTTCATCAGGAATTAGATGGGCTAAAACCTGAGATATTTGTAAAACAACTTCAAAAGAACAAGTAACCAAATTGTAAAGTCTAATAGGTCTTGATTTAACTTGATCCAACTTAATCGATCTCAATTGCCTGGCATTGAAATATCTGACAAGTATTGCTGATAATATTAATGCATTAACTTCCCATTTATGAATGATAACTTTATCCTAGAAAACATCAATAAATTAAGATTATCAGTTGGTTATTTACCTTAATTTTATAGTTTAAAAAAATCAACCATTACTTCTAGAGAGTAAAAATAATTGTTTTTAAGTCTTTTAAAAAAGATATCTCTTGGTACATTCTTTTAGTTAGACAGCAAACCATTTAACGTTTTCAATAAGTTGTATTTAAATAAGAAAATATATTCATAAGAATGGTTGTTTTGCCAGCAATCAACATCAAATTAACAAAGTGAAGGTGCTCATAGTAGCTCTATGACCAATTAAATAAAATAATGGTCATTCTTCATTCCATCCAATAAAAATGATGAATCAGTGCCATGTGAATAAGCCATAACAGTAGCAGCCAGAGTAGAGCATCTTGGAACCAAATATGAGAGGTTTTAAATGAAGAACCATTTTATCAACATTACTTCACATACTAAGTAGAATTCCATAATACATGGAAATAGTCCGCATACCACACAGGCTCAAAAGAGTAAGTGGGATGGACCGTGAGGAAGACATCACACTTCTTGTTCCCAGAATTATTTCTCCATTATTATGATTACAAATTGGTAATAAGAATAATTATATAAATTTGCAATAAGACTATAAGAGTATAATATAGACTTTAAAAGAAATTAAAAATTTGTCAGAACTGTGGTTTCAATCCGGTAATTTTATTTTGATAAAAAATAATCCAATCTGAAAAACAGAAGAATACATGTAAATTAAAGTTATATAATTTAAGCAACAAGGAGTAAAATTAAATGAACAATTTTATAATTTGTAAAATGGGAGTTGGTCAGTACCCCTCTAGTTTTTTTCTATTAATTTTATATATATTTTTTTATTAATATCAGTGTAATTTCTTATACCTATTTTCATGATCCTTTTAGTTATTATTCAAAACAATAACTTTTATCATTTGCAAAGAATTTGGATGAACAAGGCAACTTATTTGAGAAAACAGTTCTTTTATAGGATAAGATAGAAAGAATCAATAGAAGGGGGGGATCACACATGTGTGATGGGAAAAAAAAATGTTGTAAAAGAATGTTTTTATTTACCTCAAATCAAAAAGGGTTAGATAGAAATAAATAAAATAAAATAACTAGTATTAGTTGTAATACGTATTATTTTATAAAAATTATTAGTTTTATGTATTAATTTTAAGTCGCATTCTAATAGCCTACACATGATTGTAGGCATTGGAATCTCTTGAGTGTAGAGGGATGCTAAGTAATTGTGGATGAAACCAATTTTATTTGTGTGAAATACTTTAGTTTAATAGCGTGTGATTACCAGCGATGAGTGCCACTTGATTTTAAAAATTGGTGAATAAAATAAATATTTTCACAACTTGAAAAAGTAGGCAAAGGAAACCCTGGCTCTAACAACTTTAAGTTCCTGATTCCTCAGATGACTTGATGTGAAAATTGGACAAAGTGCACCATTGAGATTTTGTAAATATGTAAGTTTTTTAAACTATATTGAATATTTAATGGTTGACCATTGCATTATAAAGGAAGGAGATGGTCCGGGGTGGCGGTTATAAATAGTTTTGCTACTGTTTAGTCTATTTACGACTGCCACCCCAGACCATCTCCTTCCCTTTTTAACTATATATATATTTTTTTTTACAGAAATGAATAATTAGTATTCTTTTCTTTGATAATTAAAGTATATTGTCTTTTTTGTTTTCTTTTAAATATAATTTCTTATTTATAATTTTCATTTCCTTTAACAGTTATTTTCGTCAATTGAAATAGAAATAAGTTAGTCCATTATATGTATTAATGATAGACAGTTTTTTTTCTTCTTTCTTTTTCTTTTGGGTTAAATTTCAGGTTTTATTTATATATTATATTGATTTTTTAAGGTTTAATAAGGAAGTGCAAAATCCAATTCGAGGGATTAGTATTGACCAAGTAAGAAGGTTCAATGGGTGATAAGGGTAATTAACATATGTTTTTAAACCCATAGGTTCCAAGTTCATAGCTCACTCTGCTTCCAAATCTTTTTTTTAATTCAATATATTTATTTCATTTTTTTCTAAATTATGGTTTTCGTTTTTTTCAAAACATGAACAAATTAAATAGTGTGGAGCCTGTTAGATAGTTAATGATATTTAATTGACTCTCTATTATTTCCTTCTTTTTTTTGTGAACCTATCTGTCTCCACTGAGCGTCCAGCAAGTTTGTTGCGGAAAATACCAAGGAAATATTTTAATTTAAATTAAAGACCATAACACATGAATTTATTTATAAATATACCTTGTATAAAATTAAAAAAAAAAAAAGAGGATACTAACCTTTAAATATCGAAAAGACAATGCAGGAATTAATAAATCTAGAGGAAAATTCTTCAAATAACCAGGATTTAAATTAAAAGTATCCCCAAGTAGATTCCAATTAGCTTCTTTGTTGTGGCCTCTAATAAGGGAGATTAAACCAGGATGGTGTACTGCAGAAAAAAAAATTTGATATTTTTGATTATTTAAGCCAGAAAGACAGAAAAATGGGATTGCCATAGATTTGTATTACAAAACTAAACCAAATGTTTGTAACCTTTAGTTGTCTTGTTCATCAATTTGCTAGATTAAAAACATTTTTTAAGTCTTTTTCACAGATGAAGATTAAGATTTTTGGCGCGCTTTTGAAATAAGTTTGCCACCAATATAATATACCTGATCCTGCCATAAATATTATTACAAGGAAATATATACAGATTTCAACAGAAAAACTATTTTTTTCAAAAACTTTATTAGAAAATAAAATGTATTTTAGTGAGTAAAAAAAAAAAAAAGAAATAACTCAAAATGTCCACATTTTGCTTTGACACAGGCATTTAATCTCCGTGGCCAGTCATCAATAGCAGCAGGCAGCACTTCTTGAGGAAAACATTCAACTGCTCAGACCAGAGATTGTTTGAGACTTTCAAGTTAGGGTGTGCTCTATGACATGCCGTCCTCTCCAGTTCGGACCAAAGCTGATAATCTAGTGGGTTGAGATCAGGGCTTCCTGAGGGCCAGTTCAAGGCAGAGATGAACTCTGGAATGTTCTTTTGCAGCCACTAGCCACTGCTGAGTTTACCTGGCCTTGTGAGCTGGAGCGGAATCCTGATGGAAAATCCAATGACTTCCAACAGACAGAGTATTATTTAGAGGCTTGACAACATGTTACAACCAAAATATCGTCCTGATAGTTTTTAGCAGCTATTTTAACTCCTTTTTCACAAAAATCCTAAGGTATTATTTATTATGCAAGACAATGATCTGACAGAGATTCTTATTTCCCGAGATATGATTTGTTGTTTTAGAATGGGATTTCTTCTGGTTCAAGCAGCCACTGCTCCTACTGCATTTGCCATTCTCACAGTGCGGAGATCGCCTGTCGAGATTTGTCACATACAGAAAGGGACTCATTATATCTATTTATAATGCAATTTATAAACATACGGCTTATAACCAAAGGTTTCTAAGTGTTGAAAATTCCTTACCTACATTTTCCAATTTCGTGTAAGGCAATCAAAGCTATTCGGTTCTATTTATCATCCCACTCCATATTAACTGAGTGAAAGAAAAATACAAACTAATAAAGAAAATAACCAACCTGATATGGGTAAGGATTATCTAAATAATACCCAAGGATGTAAACAAAGTTCAGCTTTTATAACAGTATCTTTGGCAGAACCAGGTTGCTGGCTTGAGGCCCCTCTATACCAATAATAGCTCAAAGAGAAAAATAAAGAAGAAATAGAACTAATGCAGCTCTATACAAATTTAGGTTCTATTTTTTGTGTCTAACAGTGTGATAAATAATTATATGCTACCATAGAAAAGTCATAATCTTATTTGGGATAGTTATTTCCACTAACTATATATATAATTTTATTCAATTAATTTTAATTTCTAAAATAAGCTTGGGTTCACCATTATGGGCTAATTTCCTGAATAAGTTGCTAAATAGTTTATAAAGTGATTTACAATTAGAATTTTCGGATGCAAACATTTACTATGATTTTAGTTATCAGTAATTTACTTGTCAGCTGACCAGTTCTCACATAGGATGGCATGAGAATATTTTATTTATTATTAGATTAAGGTGGGCACTTCACTTTTCAATCATTTAATCTTGGTATCACATGAAATCAACAAGGAATGGAGGATACTTAAAATGTAATTAAACATTTTTCCAGAATTTTGATGAATACTACTTGATGACATTCACTGTAGATTGCAAAGTTTGAATCACAGACAAGTTTTAACTTTTCAAATGATAACATCAGTAAAACAAACCTTTGGAAACGAACAATCTTGCACTTGTCCCACAACCTTTACTGCTTGAATAATTATTATTTAAAATAACTCGCAGGCACTTATATCTTGAGGCAGGGAAAAATGTTTATGAAGTACTAATTATCAAATACCAAACTAAAAAAAAATGGATATGATTGCAACCTTGGCTTGACTATAATACTTAAAACATAATCATTTCAAGGACATTTGTTAAAAAGAGATGAAAAATCTAACTTAAAATAAAAGAAGATTTTGCAGACTTGTAAAGTCAAACTTTATAAAATTTAATGAATACTCATACCATCCACCGCATTACACTAGTATTTTTTCATTACCTTTTGGAAATTGGGGACTAACTTCCTTAGGTTTGGCTAAGCTCTCATAGCCATCAATAAGCCACTCTGTTACTTTCTTTAAGCCAGGTTTTTCATATAAGAGAATGCCATACCATCTTTCTCTAAGTGGTTTCAAAACCTAAGCAAAAAAATATGCAAACAAAATAATTAACAAATATTTTAATCAGTCCATACTTTAGATATCTGTAACTCATAAGATCACTAAGTTTAGTTCAATAAAAATTTAAAATTACTGGTGGATTTTAATTTTACTTTTGAACCAATACTAGGTAAAGAATTTATTGTAATCAGACCAAATTTCCAATGCGCTGTAATATACACCTTAATTGAAAGTTGTTAAAAATTATTTAATAAATTAATGTAACAGTTAAAAAGCAAGCTAATCTAGTTTCTCTAGAAAGGATATCCCAGGGAATTAGAGTTGAATAGAAGAAAGTGCCACCATTTTGGAAGATGTGTTTGGCAGAACAGGAAAATGTTATAAGACAAATGAATTCAGTAACACAAAGGAAGAAACAGTGTATATAGAAAAAAAGGTTAGCTTGCCAATTCATACTTGACTTAATTTTAAAATCAGTGTTAAATTTTGGTATAAATAGTGTAAATAATAATAGTTTGTCTGAGTGTTTTAGTCTGATTGTCAGAAACCCATATCTAAGATAGATAAATATATTAATACTCTTATAATTTTGTTTATTATTTAATAACCCCTTATTTATTTGGGAAGTATCCCAACAGTATAAAGTGATCTTTCGAGGTTATAATATTATTTGTAAAATATCAGAGAGATGTTACAGAGCATTTTTCAAAAGAATTACTTTTCAATAATTCTTTACTATTATTCTATTCTATGGTTTCAGTAATTCTCTTTACTTTTCAGAGACCATTGAGTCCAAAAACCCATTTTCATGAATTGGCTATGACATGAATATGGTCATCTCTTGGATGATATACCAATTTAACTTGAAAAAGACTAGTGTTCTTCCAGAAGGATATTTGAATTTATCAATATTACCGCCGCCTTAGTATAGGCGTAGGGTTTAAATTGTCACTGATGGTTTTTGAGGTGAAAAGGTCAATTTAAAACACAAAGTAACCTGCAGAGAGAACAGAAAAATGATATATGTTTCATTCATGAAAGCAATGAGTTACTAGGTCATTAATGCATTTTCTTCCAACTTATATAGATTATTCTCTAAATTCACCAACTTTAAATCTAAAGGTTTTACTCTTATTTTTCTATTATTTTAATCAAAAGCAGTCCTTTTAAATAAATTGAGGGTACATTATATAATATTATGTTTATAATAATAACATATAAAATTATATATAATATGTATAAGTTTATTGAACTTATCTAATATTTTTGAATAACTTTAATTTAATATTAGTTTTATAGCTAATTGGAAAATCAGATCAGATAAGTGATGACAAGCAAACTTAAAACAGATAAATCAGGCATAAACATTTAATAGTAAAAATAAAGAATTCAAAATCATTATGAGATATTAATTATCACATTATTTCCTTTAGAAATAGTATCCTGATTTCATGAAAAGTGCCAGCAAAAACTGTGACTTAAGAGCTTCAAAACTTTAATTCTGGCCTTGGCTATTCATGTTTAATCACTTTATTTATTGAATACTTCAATCACTACTTAGGGATGATGTCAGAATGAAGGATAGTTCACCATGGGAATATATTTTTATTAGCGTATTGCACTGCACATTTGGTAAATAAATATTTTTTTAAAAATTCAAGGAATGTTTTAATGCTAACTTTTGTCAACTCGTTTGAATCTTTAATTTCTAATCAGATAAAAATGAAGCATGAATGCATTTAGCAATAGATTAAAAAAACAAATAATATAAAAAATAATCCTCCCCCCAAAAAACTCCAAAAACTTTCGGATCCTAAAGAAAAGCCCTAATAACTTTCATACCCCACTCCCCCCCCCCAAAAAAAGAGGAAATCAACAGTAACAAAAAAAACCCTAGTCTGGGAGCCCCAATGCCTGTGATCGATATCAAGCTTACTGTTTTTCTTACTGAAGATTGTTTTTCTAAAAACTGTAGTGCAACAACGGCTCTAACAATTTTGATGAATATTGTTTTAAGGTTTTGTCTTAAAGCCCTTTAAATTTTTTTTAATTTGAAACATAATTAATTTCCCAATATAACAAAAAAAAATCTGGTGCACACAACTTTCACTTACCGATATACTTTGAATAGAAATTATTTTCTGGCAATGCTGGGCTATTATAAAATTTTTTGAAGAGCATTTTAAACGGATCTCAAGCTTAAAGCTTACAGACAACAAGTCATTAAGACCATTATAATTACAAAATGTCTATTTAATATATCGACGACAGGCAATAAAAATCTAGTCACTCCATCTGGTTTTATAAACCACAGAATGACTAACTCCAATTTCAACATTTTTGAGTGATGTCATTTTAGTTGAAAAAGTTATCTATGCAGACAATGAGCAAGTTGATTCCAGAGGTGGTGATTGCAGTGTTCAAATATAGAACTGAGAATAAAGGTATAAATTTAGGTACTTATTTATTATGAAAGATGTTCTTAGGAAAGTTACTTTATTAAATATCTGAGGTAAAAAGATTTTTTTAGTCTCAACAAATAAAAAAGTATATTTTAAATTTATCCAAATTTTCGCCTCTTCAGGGAAAAAAACTAGAGGCCATATCTATCCTCCTAATTGTCCGATTTTAACGATTTTTTTTTTTTAGGAAATTCCATAAACATTTAAAAAACCATATACAATATTCCCAAAAAAGCGTGTACTTTTTGAGTTATTCGGAATTTAATTTTACCATCCCTCGTAACTTTTTTTCCCGCTTCTTTTCGTTGAAGTATGTTATATAGATAAATTTAAAGGGTGTCAAGAAAATAACTTCAGGGAAGTTTCATTGAAATCGATACATTCGTTTAGGCGCTACAGTGTATAGCAACGCAGGTTTTTCTGCATTTTTATTTTTTTTCTCCTTTATTAACTTATCAAATTCTTTCAAAAGTTATATGTAGCATTTTTTTTAAACTCTGAATAATGCGAAATGATTAACTTTTTAAAATAAACCATATTAAAGGTACTTTAGAGGAAGACATATATGAACATTGGGCATTTAAGCCCTGTAAAGTGACATCAACGGGGATAAGACCTAAATGATATTAAATAACATTTAATTATATAATGATACACCGAGTTTGATCAAAATCGTTAGAGCTGTTTTTGAGAAAATTGTAAAAATGTGTTTCAGCATTCACATAAAGTGGCACTTCCGGTTAGCCGATTTTAACAAAAACGTTGCTATCACATCCGGCCCATATACAAACATTAATTACTTTATATCAGTTTCGTACTACTTTTCGTTTATGAGCTAGACTGTTAACACACACATACACAGACACACGGACACACAGACCATTTTGCGACACTTGGTTATTTGGACTCAGGGGACCTCAAAACATGTATATCCGTTGAAAACTGAGATTCGAAAATTTTCACGATCGCAATACTTACCCTTACTATATATTACATATATACGTAATTGAAAGTAATAATCTGATGCGTGCAACACACAACTTTCATTTACCGCTCTACCTTGAATAGAAATTGTTTTCTGAAAATGTTGGGCTATTATAAAATTTTTGAAGAGCATTTTAAGCTGAGCTAAAACTTAAAGCTTACAGATAACAAATCATTAAGACCATTAAAATTACAAAAAGACTATTTATTGTATCAATGGTTGGCAATAGAAGTCTAGTTTCTCCATCTGCTTTTATAAACCACATAACTTCAGTCTCTGAACCATTCAGTTGACAGAATGACTAACTCCAATTTCAACATTTTTGAGTAATGTCATTTTAGTGATATTTCTAGTTGGGAAAGTTATATCTATACAGACAGTGAGTAAGTTGATTCTAGCGTAGGTGATTACAGTATTGAAATATTGAACTGTGAATAAAGGTATAAATTTTGCCCCTAGAAACATCACTAAAATTAATAATAAAGAATGTTGAAATTGGAGTTAGTCATTCTGTCAACCGAAAGGCTCGTATTATATACCTAGGAGATTTGAAAGTACATGTGAATATTTAACCTATAAATGATTATGGATTGTAGGACTATTAGTTATTAAACTGTTATTTTCTACTGCAAAGTTTACTTAAATGATATTACGAGATTTTTATTGCCTGCCATGGAGAGGTCAAAAGTTGTCACACTAATTGAAGTGAATAATGTTGGGATTTCACAAAGAAATAATTCATCAAATTATTCATTAATTTAATTTTCTAAAGGTTACTTGATAATTTTTTGGAATAAACAGCCAATAGATACATAATTATTTAAATATAATATCATATCTAGAGTTATTAAACTATATTAAAGGTATTTAAGGTTATAAACATATCCAGGAAATATTTTTATATTTCACTTCTTCTTTCACACAAGTACAATGAAATATTATTTTAAACAATGGCATTAGCTTGATTTGATTTGATTTTTTCGTAATTAGAAAAAAATTTAAAAGTTTACATTAAGTAAGAAAATTTCATTTAATTTCCTTGGAAACATGTGCATTACGTTAAATTGTGTTAGTTTTCTGAAATTATTATTTATATTTTTTTCATCACTCTCCATTACCTTCTAGAACTTTATTTATTTTGTTAAGCTCCCTCTTAGTTTAAATCAAACTTCGAATGAAGCCTCACTATTATTTAAATTAAGTCGATTAAAAAAAATAATAAAATAAAAAAAAAAAAATAAAATCAATTTTACACTTGTTTCAATAGATAAAATAAAATAATAACTTCTAAAATGAAAATAAAGATAAGCTGAGCACAATGCTAATAAAAACAATTATGAAATATTTAATAAAATATTTTGATGTGTGATTATGGAAATTAAATAAAGAAATTATATGTAAATGGTACAAAATTACAATCAATAATAGAAACAATTAAACAAACATATCAATAGTCCTAAAATAAAAGTTGTGCAACGTTACATGGTCCCAAGCAGATGATGGTCGTAAAAGTGGACAAATTGCTGGCATAGTGACCAACTGTAAATTTTTCATGAGCGCTCACATAATCAAACTGCAAGTGAACAGCGGCGACCATGACCAAAGAAGTCTCTTCACAGGTGGACTGCAATGGGCAGTATAGCAGTTGGCAGTACTGAGCTCTGTGATGGACGGAGTCAGACTGTGTATTGCGAGGTTTACAGACTTAGGAATCGAACCTAGGACTTGTTTATAGCTAGGGCTACAATCCATAACAAGTAGTATAAGTATAAACTATTAACCAGCCTATTGAATATAAACAAGATAAGCTATGGGCCTATGAATACATGTATATAATTATTAATTGGTGTCATTTTATGAGACAAATCAAAATAAAAAATAACCTGACCATTGTTAAAAATAAAATAAAATAAATTAACGCTGTGGCGTTAACATATTTGATATTATTTTTTTCTAAAATTCTCCACTTTCCAATGATATATTATACGTATACCTTCTGACTGTTATTTCGAGAGATTCATTTTCAAACATTATAAGCATTTTTCTTTTTTTCTCCAGTTTCCAATTATCACATTCTTTCAAAATTCATATTCTGCCATTTTTTTTTATAGTTACTGTCAATAAAAAAGAGTTAATTTCCTTAAGTCCTTAAAGCAAGAATGAACGGTGGAATAGATGTCAAATTCTCGCTCCACAGCCATAAGCGAGGCCAATTAGAATCTGTACTGGGCTGGTTAAAATTTATTTTCTGTGGAGCCCACAGAATGTATCTCAACCTATCAACTCTGATTAGATTGGGTTAGTTAACTGTAGGATAACTTGTGCTTTCAATTTTATGGTACACATGCAATTTGAACCTCAAATAAGTAAGACAAAATATTATGATTATTCCAAAGAAAAAATTATTTATAAACTACATTCTCTGCTTATAATTGGTTTTGATTAACCCAACTTATTGCTATACAATTGAATGGACTTTGACTGGCTATGGAACATTTTTTATTGAAAATTTGAAATATTAACAGATTGAAAATTTTCTAACAAATAATACCTTTAAAATCAATATAATTAAATTTAAGAATCAAAACATAACCTTCACTTACTTTTGCAGCAACTGGGATATCGGAGAGCGTGAAATCTTGTAGTGAGATACAATCTTGATAGCAATGTCTAATTAAAATATCTAGATAGTTACTATAACAGGAAAATTCTTTATAAAGCATTTTAATGATGGATCTCCATTTGTAATCAGATATACCAGACATTATTGAATCTAAACCTAAAGATGATAAAATGGTATTATTACTACAATTATAGCAATACAAATAGTTTACTCAAGCCATCTGAATACAGAAAGTAGCTTATGAAGTACTTACAAATTTTAATACATACATTAGACTTTATAGTAATTGCTTCAGTATGATTACAAAATTTTAAGTATTTTAAAAAGAAAGAAGAAAAAGAAATATGGTAAAATCAATCCGATGATAAAGTAATGAAATACAAAACTGAATTGAGTTGTTTATTACCATAGTGAACCCTAATCATAGTTAACAATTTTTTAGGAAACCTGAAAAACTATAGGTATTTTCTATTCCAATCGTAATATCAAAACCAATATTTTTTAAAAAATAAATTAGGATTTCTATATTTGTAGAACATTTCCGAAAATCACTGGCTATTCCACTAGTTTTTAATTTTAAAAAGCTTTTGATGATTTTTTTTCAAAGAATATTTAAGAAATGCAAGTTTGATTTTTTTTTTTTTTTACTTATTTAATAAGCTTAACTTTCTTGTCAACCAAGACATATACATTTCTATTTCATTGAACAAAATAAGAACAAAATTTATATTAGCCCATAAAAACTTCTCTTGCTACAAAGGTGTCATTTCTTCCTTCCCGTATAAAATGTAAACAAAAATTTAATAATCTTTAAGGATTGGCTGCTTAACCTCCTTGAGGATTTAGAATTAGATGCTTTGTTACAAACAGAGGCCTTTTCTAGAGGGTTTTCAAAGTAACTAATATTAAAATCAAGAACTTCACATTAAAAGTTTGATATGGGAAAGACAGTATTGTTATTGGTTGAGAATTTTGGCACACATTTATTTTAAAAAGTAATCTGATTTGTTAAGTAAAAATAAAGATAAAACAATGTATTGATCTAATTGTCTATAAGCAGAACGTACCATTTCCTTCTGATCTTAGATGGTAGAAATTAAGACTTTCTTGAAGAATCATAGCCATTTTTTCTTCTCTAAAAAAATCTCTGGAAATTTTTGTGATATCATTTTTGAACAGTCTACCATTGTGGATCTTCAAATTAAGTCTCCTAATGTAATCAGCTATTCCACAAAATCTTTTTACTGTATCATTCTGATTAAACCATTTCTTGTAAGAGTTCTAAAATTACACATTAAGCCAATTCAACAAACATTTGTTCTTTCTTAAACATACAATATTTTTTATGGAACTGTAATAATTAATAAACATATTAAAGAAGTTTAATCAAATGGGAATACCAGTATAAACATCAGACATACATACATACATATATATATATATATATATATATATATATATATATATATATAATATATATATATATATATATATATATATATATATATATATATATATATATATATATATATATATATATATTAGCAATGTATACTTAAAGAAGTAATAAAACCTACAGAGTAACACAAACATAAATATTAACACAATACAGCGATCAGCGGAGGTTGATTCTAACTTTACACAACTCACAAAGATCCAAACTGGACTGATAAAACCCAATATTCTTTAAAAGGGAATACAATTTTAATTCCAGTCAAGGCTTGCTTGTTTTAGTCTTAACAAGCTATTCCTTCAGTGACAGACTTAGGTATCTTGATGATTGATGCATGTAAATTCCTTACATATGAATCACCTTGCAGAAATGCTGAAACAACATCCATCTAATCTATTTCCAAATCACGTTCAGATGCTAATTCCATTTTTATAATAATAATCACATTTATGATATAGTTTGCTATCCCCTATTCTGATCTCTAAAACTCAAATAATATAGGAATTAGTAATGCTTTGTGACAAAATTCATCTCTATAGTCCATAATGAAAATTTTTATATTTCTACCTGCAAGAAGAGTATTTAAGCTCACTTAATCAATTTATCCTTTGACACAAGAAGATATATCTATTATTTATCTAAATTATTTATAAAATAATTTTCTGATAAAATATGAAAAAAAGGTATTTTTTTTAAACCTATTTACAGAAAAAAAATTATATATATATGAAAAAGTATCTGGAGCCAAATAGTGAAATAACTAATAAATTGGCCCAACAAAATATTTGAATAAGCTAATCCAAGAAGACTGAAACAGCTCAATTAGGAAGGCTATCCATGATCTTCCTGTTTCATACAAATTTCATATACATGATTTAATTATGTGAATTAATTAAATTAAAAATTTAATAACATAACCTAGTCCATTATCATTATATAAATAGGTAAACACTAAAAGGTTCAGCCCCTTTTTCTTCTCTATTATTCAACCGATTTTCATCATTCTTTCTTTGTTTAATAAATTCTTTCTTTAGTGTTATCAATAAATACAAATATGGGTACTTGTCAAATAGCCAGGCAGCACTGACTGCTATCTGCCAATGTTTTTAACTTGAGCACTGATAATTCTGATAAGGCACTGATAGTTTCTATCTTCGTATTCATATTTATTGTATTATAATCGTTCTATATTCCGACAGTCAGAATAAATGGTACTTCCCTCTTGTATATTGATTTTAATACCTTGTAATGAAGTTTTGCCTTTCTGTCGTTTATTTTGATGATAAAACACTCGCCTGTTTCTCGATAAATTCCGCCAAACATCCATTGCTCAGGTAGAACTCTCCCTACATGATTTTTTTCTTTTAAAAAAAAGACTCTCGTATACTTCAACAACTTTGCCAGGTCCTCCAATTTTTTTACTTGACCTGTATAACATGTTATGGCCACAAACCTCTCTTAAATATCTGTTCCACGTTATCATAGTTGGCTTGGATAGTTTCAGCTGCTCTTTGCCCCACTGGGTTGTTGTTAAATTATGGAACCACCCATAAATTAATTTTAAAGCTGTTAAAAACGAAATCCTCGACCCCTCTAACCATGTTCCTTTCCTTGTAGAAATGTTTTATGAAAGCATTAGTGGTATGAAAGCATCTCCATTTTATCTTCCTGTATAACTTCATTTGATGGCCTTCTTCACACAATTTCACGTTTTCAGGGTGGCTACAAAATTGTCAGAGTAAAATTCCCTGACTTTTCCCTATATAATGAAAGTTTTCCCTGACCAATATGTCCGGGGACACAAATGTTAAAAATGTATAGTTTATAACTATAACTAAATATATAATTTATAACTATTTAATTTATCATACATGATTGAAAATTGAATGATTGGAGTAAAAAAGAGTCTGTTCAGTCGTTTAAAAAATATATATAATGTTTTAGAGGAAGCACTTTTTAAACTTGATTAGGATTTTATATTAAAGAAATATACATATTACAAGTCCCCACTCCTAGATGGTAAGCCAGGTGTGGGGAGAGGAAGGGGAGGAGGCCCCTTCACTTTTTTCGGAAGGTCACTTTTTTCGGGGTTTCACTTATATCAGAAAAACTATCCATTGCATCAGCAAAGACGCTCTATACAAAATTAAAGCTGATAAAATTTTCAATATAACTGATTCTATATATTTTTTCACTGCCTTGCTTAGTTACCGAAATATCTATCCTGAACTATGGGGAATTTTGAAAAAGAAAAAGCCTTCTGTTTATTGCTGTTTTTCACTTATATCAGGAAAACTATCTATCACATAGACAAAACGTTCTATAAAAAATAAAAGCTAATAAAATTTTCCATAAGATTAATCGTATACCATTTTTCGCTATCTCGCTTAGTTTCCGAATTATCGCTAATGTGGAAAAAACAATTTTACCTCATGTTTTTTACTCTATTTAACTAGCTAACTCTTGGCTGCTTGTTTCTACAATTAACTCATGGGAACAAAAGTTTTTAATTAAAATTTAAATTATTGTCAAGAATATATATATATATAATTTTTCTAGTTTATCTTCAACAATTCAAGAGTTAGATAAATTATAACTTTATACATCAATCCCGAGAATCTGCAGAAAAAAATTATTTTTATAATATAGTGTCATCGGCGGATAAAGGAGGCATCACTGTTGATATACATAAAAGAGATTATGAAGAAAGAATAAATGAAATGGTAAATCGGCTTTTTCTTATATCTGATATTGACTCGATAATTACAAACATTGGTTACAGTATTAAACAACTCAATTCTAAGTTTGTTTTCCTTTAGTTCTTCTTTTTCCACAGGCTTAATCATATATTCCACATCAGATAGAAGATGCGGTATTCTAGTTACAATATTTTTACTACTAGCCTCATAGTTAAATTTAGGTCCTAAAGTTAAAATATTTATTATGTTTTTTGCTATAGATTTATCTGTGAGGTTTAGGAACGCAGTGGTTGGCACCACGGGCAGTGGATCAGCTGTGGTTCTTTTATTTATTTTAGCAAACTTTTTTATTAATATAATTTTATTTACATTATGTTGTATTTTATAGAGCTTCTCCTGGTCATAAATCTTCAAAATCATAAACTGATATCTTTAGATGCTGTCTCTCTTCTTACAAATGTTAAGAAAGAAGTAGCCATGAAATCAGTTATAAAAAAATGGAAACAAATTTAAATCATTACAAAAATTCCACAAACTTTACTTCTAAATGCCATAGAATTATGTCTAAATGGTTCATAATTTTCCTACAACAATAACTATTACCAACAGATAATGGGACTTCTGATGGGGCTTTCAATTTCACCAGTACTCGTGCCCATAAGGGCACAGATTATAAAGCATTTTTTAAAGGAAGTAGTTCTATGAGAAGGTATATATAAGTTTGTGGTTTGAAATCTTATGTTAAGAGAATGGATTGAGAAATAAGGAATTATAAAATCAAGGATCTATATCATCTATAGCTGCTACAACATTTAGTTTCAGAATAAAATGTAGAATACATCTTCAATTTTTTTTTTTTTTAAACCAGAAGTGAGACTCCACCTTGAGATTCTCCTCACAGCCTGTAAGTTAAGATCTGTTAAAAAGCTGATCTAATAAATTTGGACTTGGTACTTACATTATTCAGATCTGTTGAATTTGTGTAATCATTACCAACCAAACTTGCAAATAGTGGTAGTTCACTGGATTTAAGCATAAGTTTTTCCTGAACCTTATTTTTATCATATACATAAAAACTCATTTCACTGAGGTTCATATTTTTTGTGGAATATATTTTGACAGTATCATAAATGATAAAATCAGTATCTGTTGCAAGTATACCCATGCAGTTATTTTCCCGTCCAAACAAAGCCAATTCACGATCACATTCATTTAAAGTTATTTTGACCTGAAATAAAACATAGGAGATTTAAATCAAATTTTAATCAATTTAAAATTGTTTATTGTAATATCTTCATAAGCAAATCTGGTGCGCGCATCACACAACTTTCACTTACAGCTCTACTTCGAAAAGCAATTCTTTTCTGGCAAAATAGGGCTATTACAGGAAGTTTTTCAAGCGCATTTTTAATGCAGCTAAACTTTGAACACCATATTTTTGACTTTTGGTCATATTCATCATTACAAAAACTCATTAAGACTGTCACAATAATATAAAACCTATTTATAATATCGATTTTAGCCTATAAAAACCTTACATATAACTGCATCAGTCTATTTGAATCACATAACTCCAGTCTCTCATAATACTACAGTATTATCTATACTATAAATTATAGTTAATAAATCTCTATAACTTTTTACATTTAAATTTTCAGTTTTTACCCTTGGAAAACATACCAAAATATAGTTACTTGCTTTTAAATATAGCATCGTTAGGTCAAAAGTTGTCACACTAATTGTAGGTGTATAATGTAGTGATTTCACAAAGAGAAATTTTTTAAAAATAAATCTAGGATGTATACCTAATTATTTAAATATAATCTCATATCTGGAATTATTAAAATAAATGTACTTAAGGTTATAAGCATATGTTTTCCACATCCATGAAATATTTTTATATGTCACTTCTTCATTCACACAAGTACAATGAAATAGTTTTTGAAACAATATCATTGGCTCCATATGGTGGATTTTAAATAATTTTTTCAAATTTAAATAAATTTAAAATTTTACAATTATCAAGTAAATTTCATTTAATTTCCTTGGAAACATGTGATTTCCATTTAATAATATTAGTTTTCACAAATTATTATTTATAATTTTTCGTCACCCTCCATACCTATCTAAAATACTTAATATCAGTTTCATATGACTTATCGTTTTTGAGCTATACTGTTCACATACACTCACTCCCACACACACGCGCACGCACACACAGACCATTTTGCGGAATTTGGTTATTTGGACTCAAGGGACCTCAAAACGTGTATTTCAGTTGAAAACTCAGATTCGAAAATTTTCACGATTGCAATACTTTCTGTATATTACATATACAGATAAGTGAAAGTAAAAATAACTATAAAATAAAAATTAATTAATAAGAATTATATAAAAACATTACCTTGCATCCTTTTTCCATCAATGTTAAACATGACATTTGCACCATCAAAAAAATAAAAATAAATCTATGCCTTCCCTTTGGAAAGATTCTATAAAACATTCAAAATGTCCCATGTATTCTTTTAATTGCCCACCATATGCCCAAGGAATATGATGATATGAATATAGCGAGTAGATTAAATTAATTCCATCCACAGCTATAACAGGAGATTTGTTTTCATTCCTCCTAAAATAAAAAAGCAAAGTGCACGCATGCACAGACCATTTTGGGGAATTTGGTTATTTAGACTCAAGGGACCTCAAAACGTGTATTTCAGTTGAAAACTCAGATTCAAAAATTTTCATGATTGCAATACTTTCTATATATTACATATACAGATAAGTGAAAGTAAAAATAACTATAAAATAAAAATTAATTAATAAGAATTATATAAAAACATTACCTTGCATCCTTTTTCCATTAATGTTAAACATGACATTTGCACCATCAAAAAAATAAAAATAAATCTATGCCTTCCCTTTGGAAAGATTCTATAAAACATTCAAAATGTCCCATGTATTCTTTTAATTGCCCACCATATGCCCAAGGAATATGATGATATGAATATAGCGAGTAGATTAAATTAATTCCATCCACAGCTATAACAGGAGATTTGTTTTCATTCCTCCTAAAATAAAAAAGCAAAGTGCACGCACGCACCCATGCACGCATGCACAGACCATTTTGGGGAATTTGGTTATTTAGACTCAAGGGACCTCAAAACGTGTATTTCAGTTGAAAACTCAGATTCAAAAATTTTCACGATTGCAATACTTTCTATATATTACATATTCAGATAAGTGAAAGTAAAAATAACTATAAAATAAAAATTATATAAAAACATTACCTTGCATCCTTTTTGTTTCAATACAAATATTGTGATAGCCAAAATGTTCTTTGGTAAAACTAAACAATTTGCATTTGTTTCAACTTTCTCAACACCTAAACCATTTTCAATTTTATCAAAAAATTCATGGACTTCTTTGACAGTGTCTCTTTTTCGTTTTATCCATCCATCAATGTTAAACATGACATTTGCACCATCAAAAAAAAAAAATAAATCTATGCCTTCCCTTTGGAAAGATTCTATAAAACATTCAAAATGTCCCATGTATTCTTTTAATTGCCCTCCATATGCCCAAGGAATATGATGATATGAATATAGCGAGTAGATTAAATTAATTCCATCCACAGCTATAACAGGAGATTTGTTTTCATTCCTCCTAAAATAAAAAAGCAAGGTGAACTGAAAGTAATTAGGTACTAATAATATAGCACCACATCTGGGTTAGAACATTACCAATTCATGGATTTAGATTTTTTTATTTAAATATTTCATAAGGATTTAGCAATTAATAGTGTATACACTAACAAAAATAGCAATAAACATTTAAAGTATCTTATTGATTTAATTCTATTTAAAATGTATAGAGACTATATTTAAAAAAAAAACAAGTGAAATACTAACAAAAATTAACTTTACTTTTTAAATCATAAAATTGTGAGTTGTTTATTGATTAGGACCTTAGTTTACTTACCAAAATAATCATTGAATCATGTTTAACACTTAATAATAGATTTTACTAGTCTGCAGGGGAAATATATGTAATAATACAAGGGGACAAGAATTTCTGGTGTTTCAATTGGTTATTACTTCATTTTAATGTAGGAAAGCACTAAAACATCTGAAATGACATTTAAGTGGACATTTCAAATTTTTAATTGGAGTGGTATATTCTTTCATTCTTTTCATATTTATTTATTGAGTAAATTATTTTCTTTGTATTATAATAATGATTATTATTATATTTTATAGCAGAACCTATGATCATTTATGTCAATCAAATTCATATAGTGAATTGTTCCTGTAGAGTGTTATATAGTATTATTATATTATTATTTTTTTTTATATAATTTTTTTAAGTATGGAAACATTTACCCTATGCGAATAGAGCCTCCATCGAAGGGTTACGATGACATATTTGTATTGAGATTCATTTACATTGATGTGCCAATTACTATACCAATGTTGAATCAGGGAGAGGTGCCTTTGTAGGTTCAAGGAAGCTAAGATATGAGTTTGATTGTAGGAATGCAAAGTCCTATTTTTTTAGATTTTTAGATTCTATAAAGGATAGGTTTCGTTTCAGAAGAATCTTTTCAAAGATATTAAAAGAATTGGGAGCAGGCTAATTGATCTATAGGATGTTAAGCTGTTGGGAGATTTGCCTGGTTTTAGAAAACGGATAATAGAGGAATCTTATATTAACAAATATGTGCGTAACATCTTAAACTGGAAGTAAACAATTTACAATTTAACAAACACTTTAGCATTTATAATCTATTTGAACTTATTCAATTAACATTTATAACCTAAGTTGGAGGATTAGGTTACCTCTCCTAATCCTTCAGATGTAGGTTTTGATGAGATTAATTGGGAGAGCTTTGTTAGCAAAAATACTTTGTATCAGTACTAAATATATATAGTATAAATTGAATATCCAGAATGAAAGATAAAAAATGTTTTTTAATTAGAACATCAGTTTTAAATTATAGAAACTTTTAGAGTTATTCTATGGTACATGTAGGAATGTAAATTTGTAAAAAAACATAGGATGAAAATTTCAAAAGAAAAATTGTATCAGTAAAAACTAAGAAAAATTCAGAATAATCTAAATAAAATATGATGTAGGATAAAAAATAAAATTTTACTTGTAACGATCAGCTTCTTCTGAAATACTGACTTTCCGCAACGCCTCTATATTTTTCATGAAAGTATACAAGTATGAAACACCCATTTTTCAATCTAAAATCACATTTATGGATATCTGTTAACATACTTTCAATTTATTAAACTAAACACACACACATATAAATTTTCCTTTTTTTTCGTAAATAAAAATTTTAATTTCGTAAATAAAATATTTTTAGGTTTCGATGAGATAAAGCTATCCACTAAGTTTTAGGCTATTTGTTAATAATTTGATAAAAAGGTGTCTCTACTGCGCACTAATCACTGAGATAGTGATCATCGTTCTGTTTTTTTTTTTCTAGTGTTATAATATTCGTCTCCGGCATTATCAGCTAATTCAGAACAATATGACTTACAACATAGAAACAAAAAAGTTAAACTGATATGGCCACTTACAAAAAATGCAAGAGGAGCCAATATTAACATACGCCATATTAACATACCAATATTAGCACATACGCCAATATTAACATTTCAGTATCAACTGGCAGAAAGGCGACAAAGAGGATGACCCAGGAAGAGATGATTACAGGATATGGAGGAACGCATGGCTGCCATAGGTCTTTAATACATCCGTTTTTTGGATCGTTAAACGACAGAAATATTGGTCGGAACTTTGTTTTTGTTTAAAATATTAACACTTCTTTCGTTTTTCACCAACATTAATATGGAAAACTATTATTGTTGTTTTTTTAAATAACTGTGCATACAATTAAAAACAAAATAAAATTATCTACATTTTATATCCTTAAATTGTTTTTCTACTATCAACTGTTGAGAGTGCCCTCTAAAGAGACCCAAATTCCCAAAAGCGGTTTACGGTTCTTTACTGTCAATTTCCGTGGAAACTCCATGCATTAATTGTTTAATAACCATACAGAACGATAAACTTTCTATAACATACAAAAATACTTGTTTTATTACATTATGTCTTATTGCAGGAGCTACCGGAGGAGGGAGTTACCGGATCCATGGAATAGATAAAATATTTAACTTCAAGATTTAACATACATATACTCAAATATAGAGGGAGTGGGGTAGCTAAGTGGTAGGGTTTTCAATGCTTAAGGTCACAGGTTCGAATCCCGGCTCATGGCAGAAATATTCTTTATTCTATTCCATTGGCCGTGGGGCGATTCTGGGTAGGTAGACCCTCTTGGGGCACACCCAGCCTCTAGAAAGTCGGTACCCTTAATTACAATAATTAATTAAGGAGAAAAACCTGGGGGTTGAGAGTGATCTCGTTCAAATCACCTTCTTGCTCAACCGTAGACCAAGAAACGGTGATTTTCCTAAATAGTATTGAACCCAACACCTTCCATGGGTTGTAGTGGTACAGTTATTTTTTTAATACACAAATATAGAACACACACATAGGGGCGGAGTGGCCGAACGAGCTAAAGTGTGTGCACAGCACCGCGAGTTGCCCAGCAACCAGATAACCAAGTTTTGAGATTGATAAAAAAGTACGAGTTCGCGCCCCGGTGCCAGAGGGGATTTTAAATTCCCCGCCCTCACCCTCCGGCCCGGGAAAATCTCCTATAGCCTAAAAGTCGAGGTAAGGAAGAACAGAGTAAAAAAAAGTGCCTTGTTTGAGGGTCTTTTTAATTCCCTGCCCTCGCCTCTTGGACCGAGAAAATTTCCGTATATCCTAAAAAGGCGAGGTAGGGAAGAGCATTAAAAAAAACAAAAAAACACACACATACACGATATATATAATTATTATTTATCGACTTCTCTTGGTATATAAAACTAGCGGATCCAGGATTTAATTTTGGGGGGGCTTCAGTCCGAAACCTTTTTTTTCATAAAAATAACGATAATTACTTTGGAAAAACAGAAAGAAACTAACTACCTATATGAAATGGTGTTTAAGTTATTCCTTAAGTACTTTTAAATGTAATTACACGAATAATAATACTTTAAGAGGTATTTTTAAATATTTTTTTCCATAAAACATGGTTATATTTTTCCATTTTGGGGGGGGGGGCTTCAGCCCGAAAGCCCCCCCCCCGTAGATCCGTCCGTGGTATATAATATTCCGTGAATGGGAGAGTTAGTAATCAAATAAATTTATTCAATTGGACAAAGAAGCTGTAGCAAAATATTTTATTTAATGAAAGGAGATGGTCCGGGGTGGCGGTCATAAATAGGCTAAATAGTGGTAAAACTATTTTATTGAAAGCCGACGTTTTGACCCAACTTTGCAGGTCTTCTTCAGGGTTAGAACTGACAAGATACAAAAGATAGAGAATTGTGGCAGTTACATTATATTTAGACATAATTTATAAACAATGGGAACAAGCTTATTAAAATTATAATCAGTAAGTACAATAAAATATGAACAAAGTAAGCTGAGTAACAAGATCCTTAACTGAAGTAAATAGATGCTAACAATTGTTGTAGTGTAATATATAATAAATGAAAATGTGAATATACTTCTACAGATCTACAGGAGCGATTGAAAGAAAAGAAAAAAGGATATAATCTTTTGTATCTTGTCCGTTCTAGCCCTGAAGAAAACCTACTAAGTCGGGTCGAAAAGTCATTTATGACCACCACCATTTTAGCCTATTTATGACCGCCACTCCGGACCATCTCCTTCCTTTATAATGCAACGGTCAACTATTAAATATTCAATATTTTATTTAATATTTATTAATAGTTAATTGTTTACCACGATGTATGACTGTAGAAGAGCTGAAAACAATGATTGAATTTAACTAAATGATCTATTTATAACTCAAATAACATAAATTATTAAAATAAATAAAATAAAAATCTTTATAAATTAAACCATTCCATAAGAACAAAATAGAATTATTCATTTTATAATTTATATTACTTAATTATTAGGCAGAATAATACATACATACATAATAAATCACAGTTACTTGTTGATAATTATTCAATGATGAATGCAGTTCATAAAGTAAGATGTGCGTTATCAATGAAGCCCAGGTTGTTTTATAATCATACATACATAACACATAACACTTGAAACTATAGATTCTGTAATTAAAGTGACTTATCTTACCCCCTCTTATCTTCCATTCTCAAATATAAATTGTTGCACTCTGTTGGAATAACTTGTAACCTCCTAACTATGTGAATTACAGGCTCTTTGTTTTATTTAGTTTATGTGAATCACAGATCACGGTCAATCATCCATCCGTTGTTTTCTTTACTACCGGAGTTACCTCATTTCTGATTTAGTCGCAAAATGATTACCATATCAAATAAGTTTGAATTAAATTTTTATTATGGAAGAGTTTATATTTTCTCCAATAAATATAAACTCTTTTCTAACATACCACACCATTCAGGGAGGGTGGGTCAATAAATATTTGAGGGGCAAGAATATCATTTCGCCACTCCCAATAATTAAAAAAACAAGTAAAATAAAATAGAACTAATAACTTAAGGGCTTACCCTAGCTCCGCCTGTGGAAGTAGTCACGCTAGGACTGCAGCCGGTCCCAAGCCCGGATAAAGGAGGAAGGTTGATGGGTAGGGATGACTACTCACCCATCGTTAAAAAACACCCGAGTTACGAGAACACAATCTTGCCTCGTAAATCGGACTACTAAACGCCAGCGACTTGGAATTCGGAAAACATCACTTCTTTTTGGAACATGTAATGTACGATCATTATACTGACCTGGTGCATTGAAGGAACTGTCGGATCAACTAGATAAGTGGATATGGCCGCGTTGCAAAGGGTCTGCTGGACTGTAATGGGCGTATTAAACGAACATGACATCTTCTACAGTGGAAGTGTAGACGAGTACGCATTTGGAACAGGGTTTATGGTTTCTCAAAAAATGCTTAGTTCAATAATCGACTTCCAGCCTATTAGTGATAAAATGTGCAAATTAAGGGTGAGGACAAAGTCAAGAAACATCACCATAGTCAATGTCCACGCACCAATCGAGGAAAAATGTGAAGAGACCAAAGATATCCTCTACAGTACCTTGGAAGGAATAATGAAGCAATACGATGTATAAATGGGCGACTTTAATGCCCAAGTTGATAAACAAATGGTACTCTGCCCAAATATTATACACGAAAGTCTCCATGAAACCACAAATGATAATGACGAGCGATTGATAAAATAATTAACAGTTCGCGTACTGGTGCTAAAGCCGAGGAGCTTTTAATTCCGGCTCTCAAAATTCTCAGCTAAGTTAAAGTTATAAGGCGAGCTTGGGGAGGAAACGAAATATGTTTTTCAGAGGAACATATGGTAAATATTTAGTATAGCATATATTTACACCAAATCGTCCGATTTTAACGATTCTTTTTTTGATCTTCTGGAAATTTTGTACGCTTTTTAAAAGTGTATGCGTTTTGAATTATTCAGTATCTAATTTTACCCCCTCTCTCAATTTTTTTTTTCATCTTCTTTTTGGTGAAGCATGTTAAATAGATTAATTCAGAGCTCTTCGGAGGATTTAGCCAAGTTTCATTGCAATTGATACATTCGTTTATGTGCTACAGTCAATAGGGTACAAGCTTTTCGGCCGCCATCTTCAAGAGAAGTACTTTTCGGTGACGTATATTATACACATAAACTCAAAGAGCTTTGAAAAGAAAACTTTGGCCAAGTTTCATTGATATTGTTACATCCCTGTAGGCTCTACAGTCTTTACTAACACAAGTTTTTTCGGCCACCATCTTGAAAGGAAAGGGTGGATGGTAATGCCCAGTAGCGAGATCATCCTCGGGTGCCCTTCGACATTTATACTAAATTTAAAAACAATCTGTCTCGGAGAAAAGTCGCAGGCGGCATACGGCGGACGGGCGGATTTTTTTTCTACGATTTTCGGATTCTACTTATCTCGAAACACAAAACCTCAAATTTTTAGGGAAATTAACTTTTTTTATTGGTCGATTACAAAAGTCAATTATTGAAAATAATAAACCAAAGTAATACTTTTTTAAAAATATTATCATTTAAATTGATAATGAACTATTTTTTATACGGATATCTGTTACGGGTATTGATCAATAATACAGAAACAATATTCTTAAACATGGTATACAAATAACTATTGTCAATATCATTGTTACAAATTATCCCTCAGACGATCGATACATTCGATATTGACTCAATAATATTGGCCGTGTAAGGGCACCTTTGAGTGGTCAAAAAAATGTTCATACTCTTAATATTTATCTTTTTATGAAAATAATTAAAACGACTATCGCTTTTTTTTTCTACAATTTTTAAGTTACAATAACGTACAATTTAATTAAATGGTATTGACATCAGGTTGGTAATAAAATCTGAAAAAAATGGCGAATGATCAATGTTATTATGAAAAACAGAACTTAACGTAGTTGAGCCGCTTAGATGTCCTCCTAAAATGGTTTTAACAACGACTAAATCAATTAGTATTAAACACATATGAACCAACTTTAAATTAGATAAATTAAAAATATATTTAGCCGCCTATTAACGATAAATGTTCCAGTTAAAAACACAAAGCTTTATTTTGATTTACCACTCCTTAAAGATTTCTCTAACGAAACATCACGCTTACCTGTGGTTATATTGTGTTTGTGTTCTGTAAGCCTGTGCCTATATTCGTGCTTTTTCGATATTTGTGTGCATGTAAATATAAATATAATGATGAAAGATATTTTAAGCGATGATGATATTAACCTAATTATATATTTTTTTTTTAACTTCCTATAAAAGTTTCCCGTTTCCATGGGTCTAGCAATCCCCTGGTAAAAGTTGGATGAGCTGTAACAAAACATTGCATTTTGTTCAGCAATGCATAATTATTTAAATCAATGATTGATTGCCTAATACTCTTACGAACTTCGATGATACACCATAAACTATTGATGAATCTGTAATAAAGTAAAAAGGACTTAGCTCATAATTACACTTTCAATTTTACGGATAATCCCCTTCAAATGAAACACCAAAATAAAATAATCATTTGAGGTTTCAAACAAATAATAAATTACCTCGATCATCACTCACGATGAAGGTCTAAAACTTCATCACGGAATAATTAATAACTGCATTCTACTAAGAGCCTTTGGCTTTCGTAGATAAGACGAACAGAATGTCAACAGAAAATTTATCAACACAGATTATGCGGAATCAACAGGAAACTGATATCTGTTTAAAAATTCAAAGCTAGGCTATTTTAAAACGTATCCATCAAACGTTTACAAACATTTTTGTTTAATTCTAAACCTACTGAACTGAATTTGATTAAATTTGTCGAGTAATTTTTAAAATGACATGAAAGCCAATTCATACCAGACTAAAATGTGGTGAAAAATAGAATGCAGGATAAAACAAAATCCATATTTGAAATTTTATATATTTTTATGATTTTCGTTCTACATTTATAGCTATGGTCGGAGTGGTGCAGGTTTTTGTTTTTATTACTATTAAATTTTTCCTTTAATTATCAGTAAAATAATTTTTTTTATTTATTTTTTTTCCTACTCCCTCAGGAATTTGTTTATTACAAAATACAATATATAAATGTTATATATGCATAATTTTCAATAAAATGATAAAGATTTTATGAGAGTATGAATTGTTCGGAGCATAAGATTTATACGAGCTCGAGCGGTTATAGTATGTGCAAAACACACGTCCTGCAACCTGATAAACTGAAGATTACAAATTTGAGTCTCGGTGCCGCACTGTAAGACGAGTAAGGGAAAACTCGCGACGTCGACTAAATCTAATTTATTTATTTTTCAATTAAACTATTCAATAAAAACAGTTGAAAATGTATATTCTGCCAACTGAAAATATTTTTGGGAACTCTACGTACTCCTTAAGGTATCTATAAACATTTTATCTCGTTTTTGGAGTTGGAAAACAAATAAAAATAGATGTCCCGAGTTTTCCCTTACTCGTCCCAATGTGTGCCGGGGCCTTCTAACTCTAGTAGTTATCCCTGCCTTCTCTCCTGGCCCGGAATAACCTGTATAGCTCAAAATGCTTGGTATAAAAAAAAATGAACGTTAATATAAAATAAGCGATTGGTTGTCATTCGTTGGCCGAGATTTGCCTACTGCATACACGCCCTAAAAAAAGTTGACATCGAATAATGAATTGTAACTATTATCTGCTTCGTATATTATATAATCTTCATGTTTTGCTTTTCTGGGATTCTTGCAAGCCAATAACCAGAGATATTTCATGCATAAGCGCCTGCTTCGGGAGAAGAGGGTAAGGAACTTTGTGTCCGCCAATATTTTTTTAAGGTGCCAAAATTTTTCTCTCCTCCCAAAATTTCACAGCCATTTACTTAAAAATAACTCACAACAAAATAAACCAAATAAGTAATAATAGTTCTAATTACATATGTCTGCGAAAAAAAGTAACAACAGCAATCTGAAGAAAGGCTTTTAAAAAATCTGGTATGTCCACTCACAAGACTTTCCTATCTATTTCAGAAAAAAAAACTTTATCTTTCAATATGTCTATTAAGAAACAGACAAAAAATTGAATTAAATATATTTTCCTGAAAATTGTTCAAAGAAAAGATTTGAGTAAGATTTCTTTGATAAACTAAAGCAATGTAAACCGGATTATAGAAGATCAGCGAAAAAATTCAATATATTCTCATATTGCTAATCAAAAAATTTTTGCAATAACTCGATTTTGTCAAACAATAATTTCTGCTCAAAATAGAACAGAATTAAGAATCGTATAGATCCGGTAAAAATCGCATATCGGAAATTTGACCCGACCGCAGTAACTTACATAGCTTGGAAACTAATGATTGAAAACATGTTACGAAAATATAATAGGCTGTACTGATTCTGTTTCCGATACCGGTTTCGATGATTTTCTTTTTGTTTTTTAGGCAATTTAATTGCCTTTCAAAAGTTTGAATATAAATTTTAACATAGAATATATACTTCGCGAGTTAGGCCCCCAAAACTTTTTTTTCCTGAATTTTCTCGGAAATTTAGTGCATGTTCGGAAATTGAAAAGACATTTATTAATTAGAAAATTATATGAAAGTTTCATCAAAATCGTTAGAGCCGTTTTTGCGCTACAGTCTATACAACAGTATGTTTTTCACTTATTGCGCAGACGCTATTGCACAGGAAGCTCCCAATTTGTTTCATAGGCTTCAGTAGTCAAAACCCTATAAAATAGAAAAAGAAGCAATAACATCATTCCACTAGTTTCCTAAATGTGTTTTTCGGACTCAGGGAGCTCTGAAACGTTTAGTTCCGTCGAAAACCGCATCGAAAATTTGAATCCGATCGCAATAAAGAAAGTAAAAAACAAATAATAACTTTTAACAACAACTTTTAAGTAATTTCAATTGAAATAAGAGGTTTAGACTAAAACTAGTAAAGTAGTTTTTTAATAATAATTATATTATATTAGAGGTAATGAACTAATTACTGTTCTATTTATGGTTTTCGGTACTAACTTTTTATGTCAAGAAAATTGTTCATCATTGATTATTTTTATAAAAATAGACGTATGATCGTAGGAGAACTCTTTAAAAACCTAAAATTTAATTCACATTTCAACAGTGTTATGAATTTTCGGCATAAGAAAGTTTCAATCAAGGGGAAATGAAACAGAGAAGAGATAGCAGGAAGTGTAATACAGATACCTTCAAATTCAACTTTTGCTTGCTCTGTTTTTAAGGAAAGGAGAGCAATTAAGTATCTTGGGGTGGGCAAGGTTCATGCACCATTTACTTTGTGGAATGGGCAACTCTGATTATCATAAAAATTATAATTTACACTTGCATAATATATCCACGGCATTTCAACCCTGTTGAGCCAGTTTTCGTTTGATATTGAAATGTCAAGGATTGTAATACATTGCATGAAATGAAGAGCTTGAATTCAAATAAAATTGAATTAAATGATAAATCTTAAATCATAATTTAATAAATAAAATTGAATAACGAAAAAATTCAATTAGTCATAAAAAAACATTGTATTTATAACATGTTTTTGAATATATATTAAATATACCAAATGATTGTCTTAACAACAATAGGTAGTCTTAGTATTTCAACTAAAAACTAGCAAACTGCATATTTTTAATGATTACCTATCTTTTTTTCTTTTTTTTTATACTCTGAAAGGAGTGATTTATGGTACAACTAACCTGGTAACTGGAGAGATAAAGAAGTTAGAATTATTCTGTAAAAAACAAAGTGTATGTATGTGTATGTGTAAATATATATATATATATATATATATATATATATATATATATATATATATATATATATATATATATATATATATATATATATTAAATTTTGTGTGTTTGTTCTTTATATTTTTGTTTGTTAATGTATATAAATTTGAACTAAAAATGTATATTATGTAAAACTAGGAAAAAAACAAAACAATTGTAAACAAATGTAATTCATGTAGTATGTCTTTAAGACATGGAGCATGAAGGAAAATCAAATAAACGATCCTTGTGTGGGGTTAGCACGTAGGTAAAAAAAAAAAAAAATGATAAAATTAAAAAAAAAAAAAAAATATATATATATATATATATATATAATATAAAGGTAACATGAAACCTACAATATATAGTTATATTGTAAGTAATGAATAATTGTTAAAATAATAATAACACTAATTACCAATAGTGCCAAGTAATTTTTAAAATAAAAATTAAGAACAAATAACATGATGTTAAACAAAAAATTGAATTAATGTTGAATTATTGATGCAACCAGCCTGGGAATGCTATGGAGATAATTTTGTTTACATTGTTTCAATAAGGTAGTACACTTTGCTATCCTATGCTAATTTTTATTTTTATATTTATATTTTACCTATCAATTTTAAAAATACACCTGTACATTAATATTTTGTTGTAATGTTTTATCTTTTATAGGTAGGTTTTTATTCTAGTGACTTAATAAAGATCATGAAAAATGAATGATGAGATTTTAAGAGTTGGTTTTTAAGTTTGTAGAGAAATGTAAAGAAATCTTGTCAATTATTTTTTTTTTTTTTTTTTCTTTTTGTAGAAAATTCCCTCCTCTTTGGTATAAACATAAAAATGTATGATTTTGTAAATTACATTTATTAATTTGTTTTTCACCCATAATGTGCAATACTTCTATGAATAAGTTATAATGCACGTTTTAGTTGAGATCAATGCTTTTCTTATGCAAAGAAATTAATGGTTTCGTTTAATGAATTTATAAAATATACCAAAATTTAATAATAAGCATGAAAAAGTATATTTGAATTAAATATTCAAATCGAATAAAAAAAAAAAAATTCTCCTTTTCTCATCCAAAAGGTAAACAATATAACAATTAAAAGAATAAATTACGATATTTATGTTGATAAAAGAGAAACTAATTACGTATTGGGTTTCCATTGATCCACTGCTAGAGAAAATAGTTATGAATTAAGAAATAAATATCCAAGAAATTGAGCATAACGTAAATGAGAGAATTAAGTAATAGTTTTAGCATTGTAAATTTGGGACATTATGTTCATTGAACTATCTTATTATGCTTGTAAAGATTGTTGGTGTTGCCAGCATTGAAAATCCTGTTTCATGGATACATTATTTAATTGTCTTTGATTTCTTGAAACATATTTGCTTCATAAACTAGACAATATCGTTTTTTTAGCATTACAGTAAAAATATGGGCATCATCTGGGGCAGTGGTGCTTCTTCAGTGAATGCTGGGACAGTACTTGACCGAGTGATCTCTCAAGCATCAAATAAGGATGAATGCCTTCTTTACAAATTGGCCAACTACAAGAAAGGAGGAGAGCTGATAGATGCCTATAATGCAGGAGGCCAAAGTGAGGTTGAGAAACTGATAAGGGAACAGTTCGGCCAATTGATGTATAATGAAGGAAAGGGTGCTCTCATCAACAGAGCTGAATATCTGCGATGGAAATTTAGGGACATGCAACAGGTTAGTGAGTTTTACTACTGTCTAAATTAAATAAAAACGTTTTAAGCATTAAACATTTTTGGCAGGAGATTATCGATTAACAATCATTATATTCTCATTCCTTAGGGATATGATCCTTTTTGTACATTTTGAAACTTTTAAGAAGTGGATAGGAAAACGTGGTAGGCTAAATTTTGGAATCCAGTTACCCTCTTATTTTCTAGTTCAACAATCTAATTCTTGAATTTTGAACATTGGTAAAGTCTTTACATTCGATTTTTTTTTTTTTTTAATTTTCTGGAGTTATTATACAAGCAGTTTCCACCTACATATTTGTTAAAGCCAGTATCCCAGTAGCAATAGCAGCTTATTCGAGGCATTGCTATATAGCAGCAATGCCAGCTTATTCGAATGTATTTTATTTGATTAAAATATAAATTAAAACATCCAGATAAAACAAAGGGCTAAAATTAAATTTTTAAGCAATACAGGTTTTGAAGGAGGAATTTTCAAATACAAGCCAGGGCCGAAACTAGAATTTTTCTTAGGGGGAAGATACATATTACTTTTTCATTTACTTCTTTCTCACTTATAAAAGTCATTATTTTTTAAACCGTATTTTAGATAATAGATTATGAAACAGATATCCTAAAAAACAGAAAAAAGTATTTTTCGCTCAACTTAAAAATAAATTTTTTCTTAAATTTCACTGATAATAGTGAATAATTTCATTAATGATTTCACTGATAGTATTGCTTCTATCTGATTATTTTTCTTAATAGCCTCAACAAGAAACCAACCATTGTATTGCATTTCATTTTTGACCTTTACATGGCCACATCTGACATATTTTATCTTAAATATTATGTATGTAAAATGAAGAAACTTCACATCCTTACCGGTTTGTTTTCTTTTTTAATTATAATTATTTATTTTCATTTTTTGAGAGATAGCAACAATTATATATATATATATATATATATATATATATATTGGTTGACATTCGATAATATTCTACTTTTGTCTTATTGATTTTGACCACCAAGGTTTCATATTGATAACGCTATCAAAATTTTCCTTTTTAAAAATGAATTTCTAGCATTCATATCTTTTATTTAAATAAAAAAGCACTTTAAACTTGTATTTCCTTCCCTAATACAAAGATACAAAGCACAAGCACAAGGCACAAGCATATATAATTACATGCCACAAAGATAAAGACAGCAATATTTCCTAACAGTTTTTATTCCACTTTTTGAATTCTGAAATATTGTGAAACTGTATTGAAAAAACACAAAACTTGAAGATTACCTTATAGAAAGTTATAATTCATCAGTTAAACATTTGGATGAATTTCAAATATTAATTACTTTTGAGTGTTAAATTGTTATATTATATTAAATATTTTGAGTGTTCTTGGATAAAAGGACTAACAATTAGTCTTATATACTTTAAGATATATAATTACTCATATACATATAATTATAAGAAATATAATAACTCATATACTTATTATATGAAGATATATAAAGAACTAGCAATTGTTCTCAGAAAAAAATATTCAAGAACATTCTTTATTCTTTCATATTATGTTTTATGAGACTATATGATAGAAAGGAGAATCGTCAACCGATGCAGAAGAGTAGAATCTGGAGGAAGAGAAAGATTTGTAAGAAGAAAGCCTATCCGTTCTGTAGACAACAGGGTTCACTTGTAGTCTTTGAGACCTCCTCACCACTGGGATGAAGACAGGACCGATATCATCAACACCTATCAACAACCAATTATGCATTATTTATATTTAAAAAAAATTAATTTACTTGATCAGGATGAAGGAAATAGTGAATATAGAAGGGAATATATATATATTTGGTACGGTGTACGCATCACACCACTTTCACTTAGCACCTAACTTAAGGTAGAAATAGCTATTTTTATATATGTGGAAGGGAAAGTAAAAATTATAGACGGTATAACACATTCATTTAAAATTATTAATTACCATGATTTTTTGCAACCCACGGAATCTGTTAAATTTATATGTTTTTGTCACTTTCCATATCCTTTTAAGACTGTATACAGGGTGTCTCAGTTCTTAATGGCCAATCTCTGGCGGGGGAAGGGGAAGGGAGGGGGCTCTAGACTGAATTTCCAACAAAAAAGTTCCATTGATGCATAGCCTTGTTTCAAACGGAAAAGGTGTTAAGACCGATTTTGGATTTTTCTCAAGGTGGTCTCGGTTTTTATTGAATAAGAGGGAATTTCTCAAAAACTGATGAAGATAATTAAATTAAGTACACCAACGGAAGAGCATTTTCTTTGTGAAAACAGTGATTAAATTTACTAAGGTGAATGATAAAAGGAACTTTCCGGATAAATTCGTCATTTAACTCTCAGTCTATCTCAATGAACATATCTCAGTGCTTGGCATTAAAGAAAGCTTGATTTTACATTGATATAGAGATTTTAATGAAAATTTTTAATACCATTTTCGAAAAAATTGTCAAAATTTGTAAGTTCGGTTAAATACACATACATACATACATATGTAGCGCGACATCCCGTTACCGAGACTGGCCTTCCACCGAGTGCCTCCGCCAGTTGGTTGTCTTCTGTTGCAGCTCTCCAGTTCCGTACGCCAAGCAGGGTTCTTGCATCATAGGCCACGCTGTCCAGCCATCTCATCCTCGACATTCCTACCCTTCTTGCGAGGTGCAGCTCCTCAATCTAAGTTTCTTGGGCATTTCAAAAGCGATCATTCTGGCCACCTGCCCTGCCCACCTTAGTGTAGCAAGTTTAATATAGGTGATTCGTCGATGTCTATATGAAGAAAACTGAGTTCCCTATTTCCTCCAACCATCACTCTCCTTTACTGAACCATAAATCCCTCTGAGGACTCCTCGCTCTAACACATTCAACTTCATCTCATCACTTTTCATCATCGTCCAAGGCTCTGATGCGATATAGCGATATGTCAAAACAGGCCGTACAAGCGTCTTGTATATAGTCAGCTTGGTCTTTTTTGAGAGATACCTACTTCTAAAGTGTCGACCAAGTCCAAAGACACATCTATTGGCAGCCATGATCCTTCTCTGTATTTCTTGAGTCATGTCATTTTTGCTATTTACTTCAGACCCAAGGTATGTAAAGCTTTTTATTCTCTCAAATTTAAAAGAACCTACCTCAAATGGATAGTTCAGATCCACCTCACCACCAACTCTCGTATATTTGTTTTTCTTCTTATTGACTTCAAGATCAAGTCATCTTGCAGCTGCTTCAAGGGCTGTAAACAATTCTCTGAGAGCGCGTTCAGACTTTCCAATTATCTCAATATCATCAGAAAAACCAAGAAGCTGTGTCAGGCGTTTAAAGATTATGTCGTTGGTCTGAATACCGGCATCTCTTACAGCTTTCTCCTCTGCCAAGTTGAATAATAGGCAGATGAGGACATCTTGCCGAACCCCGCTGTTCACTTTAAATTCTTCAGAGCCATCAGAACCGACGCGTATTCTACATTTCGGGCTGTCCATGGTCATCTTGATTAGGCGTATCAGCTTTTCTGAGGGATGCTTAGCTCCTCCAAGGCACAGTACAGTTGTGTTCTATCAACGCTGTCGTATGCTGCTTTAAAGTCTACGAATAAATGGTGGGTGACTACATTACGCTCCATACTCTTTCCTAGTATCATCCTGAGGGAGAGTTGATCAGTGCTTGAGCGTCCCCGTCAAAATCCAGCCTGGTATTTCCCCAGTTCCTTTTCAACATACGGGAGGATCCTCTCAAAAAGGATGTTAGAGAGCAGCTTATAAGCACACGAAAGGAGTGAGATTCCTCTATAGTTAGTGCATTCTGTTTGATCTCCTTTCTTATGTATTGGGTAGGTAATGGCTGTTTCCCATTCCGGTTAAATATAGAACTTGAAAAATTATATTACAATGGTTTACCATATGTACACTACCTTTGAATCCTTGTTGAACAGTATTGCCAATCCTAATCTCAGATAGGGAGAGATGCCCTGATTGAGTGCCCATGTTGACAAAGGTGGTGTGGCCGTCGATGAGGTCAGTGGCCTGTAGGTAAAAGATGGTCCCGCCGGGCACAAGGTTGATCTCACGGCCGAGGTACAGGTAGTCTGTCACCCGGCCGAAGCGGTCGTCGAGCGGCACGGCTTGCAGGCCGTTGGACAGCTGCAACACTTCCAGGTGGTGCTTTTCGTCCTTCAGCAAGTGCACCTACAGCCGTATTTTAATATTGGAATAAAACTTAATAAATTATAACCGTCTTCGGTTTATTGACCATTTGGTACAACTGATTAATCGTAAATGTATTATAATGAATAAAAATAGATCATGATTTTATATTTCTGCAGCACGTATAGCTAATAGTTCGTATATGCCAGTTACCTGCGGACCTGCGTTATGAGCAATATATGCGGAAGGATGCAGATCTGAAATGACATCGGGTCGAGGCATTGCAATGACCCCCGCATGACCTGGTAACCTTACCGTCGGAGGTTTTGGTTTGGCATGGGTCATTGTCGGAGGGTGAGGTGCCTTAAAGGCTACATTTGCAGAACTGCTCTGTTGGCTTTTTGTTTGGAACACTGAAGAATATTCCTTCTTCTCAAAGTTGATTCCTGAAAGCATAAAATAATTAAAATATTTGGGAAAGGATATACTATTACCTATAATAACATACCTAGGCACTGTCACTTGGAGAATATTTGGGGTAAGTGTAACTTGGTAACAGTATTTAATGCATTAGAGAGTGAAGAAGTATAAAATGTCATTCATAAAGGATTGGCCCTATCGATATTACCAGTAATATGCTGTAGTGTAACGTGTACGCTTTATTAAACTTTTTGTGTGTTTTTAAACTGTTTAAATTTTTTTAAAAAATGTATGAAATATTGGGGGGAGAGAGGCAGAGACATTCTGCCCTCTTTTATGTGAATGGAAATGTGCAGGAAATGAATCTTTCCTCTTTCCTATAGCCCAGGGCCCATAAATTGACCAGATCGCAGGCCAAGGTTGGAATGTAAATTATGAAAG